AGCCAGATTTTAGGGCAGTCAGTCTGAAAAACTGATTCCTTGGCTCCCCCTGAGCAACCTGATGGCCAAAACCCTGACAGGCAAGGTCTTTGGAAAGGCAAGGTGGCTGTTGTGAAGTCTTCTGGAAACCACTGGAAGGGTTGGCATGTTTGATGGTGTCTGGAGGTTGGGATTCTTAGGAGTAGGTTACCAGGAGTGGCATTTTTCCTGAACCCCCCATCCTTTTTCCAAACCCTTCCTTTCTTGGCCACAGCATATCTCAATATTGTGATTTATGGGCTCTAGAGGTGTTCCAAAAGGGGAAAAAATAACTTTGTTCGCTCAGTGTGACAAATTGGAAAGGCGGGGGGGGGGGGGGGGGGGGGAAGGGTGCTGGGGAAGGACAGATCACCTCTTAGGAATGTCCTGCCTGTGGAAATACTGAAGCAGTCTCCCTCTCCAGCACACGCAGCCAGGGCCTTATGCAAGCTCCCAGCTCTGGGGCTGAGCTAGAGCCTCTCTCTGGTCCAAAAGCACAGAAATCTTTCTCTCCAGCTCCAAGTGATTTTGAGATGGCCAGGAGCTATGGTCTCCATGTGTCCTGGCTCCCACAGCTACTCTAGGTGCAAAGCATAGCAGGATGAGACCCTGTGTGTCAGTGCCCCCATACCTTGGGAGGGTTACAACCCTTCAGAAGAAGGAAAAGCAGACAAGTAACATTTGGGGGTCTGGGAAGGCTGGGGGGAGAAGTTCTCTATCCCAGCAGCACTGGCTGCACAGGGTTGGAGCTCTGCAGCAAGCTCCCTGCCAGCAGTGCAGGGAGTGAGGCCATGCAGCACTCCTGTGGGCACCTAGTAGGACAGGGACCATGTGCTCAACTTGGGCACACATGTTGCCATGGGCAGATCCATCTGGAAGTGGAGCAGAGAATGGAGATGCTCACTCTTCTTCACAGTGGTGGCAGCCCTGTCAGTGCTGGAGATGTTGATAGCAAGACCCTGACTGTCTTTAAGCACTCCAGTCCCCTGGGCCCAAAGCCCAGGAGTAGGCTACAACCTCAAGGGTGGAGTCCTGAGCAGATGCCAGCTTCACTCCAGCCTCTGCCTCCAGGCACTTTCTGCTCCTGGCAGCGTCCTGCCTATAGCCATGTCCTGTATACCAGGATGATACCAGGATGCTGCGCAACACCATGGTCCATCCCTGGACTGCTGGGCTCCTGCAGCACTGAGGACTGATCGTGTTTCCCTCTCTTGGGACCGTAGGCAAGGTGGATTCATGGCAGAGAGGTCCCCAGGCAGTGTCAGAGGCACTGCAACAGGAGCAGATTCAGGCTGCCATGGTGGTAGTGGTGCCACAGGACAGCCCCTGGGAGAGGAGCTCATACATGCTGCTGGGTCCTTTGCTGGCTCCTTCTCCAGATCAGGGGGTGGGACAGGCTGTGCTTGCTTCACAGGATCCCAGGGGACTCTGCACAGGACAAGGGTCAAAGGTGAGCAGAGGGAAAAAATCCAAGCAATGGATTCATTCATCTGGAGTTTAACTCTTACTAGCCAAGGCAGGAGTTCAGTGCCTGTGCTGCAGCCCCACAGCCGGACATGAGCTAGACCAGGGTGGGCATGGTGCAAGCAGAGAGGATGTGCTGGCTGATCTAGCACTTGCACATGCAGTGCAGGATCCTTCCTCTGCACGGCATTTGCCCCAAGAGGGCTGAGCACCTGGCCACTCCTGTTTGCAGTGTGGCACCAGTGCAGTCAGGTCCCTGTCACAGCAGGATGTGAGATGTGCACCAATGCTCAGCATGTCACAGCTGCCTGAAACACACCCCCGGCCTTAGGCCAGGGTGCCCACACCTCTGTGGGCAGCAGGAGCACACAGACTAGAGCCAGGAGACAGATGGACAAATCTGTCCATTCACTTCCTTGTGTGCAGATAGAGGCACAATAGAGATCCAGTCCTGGAGAGCCACATGTGGGGCAAATTGCTTTTAGCTCATAGAGAACAGTGTGTGCTTTCTGCATGCTGGTTTTCCTATGTGCCAGACAGGTACAACTGTAGTCATGTGCCTGCAACATCACTGCTCCTCCACAGGCACTGTGGTGACCCAGAAATGAGACCTCCCTTGTCACATGGTTCCATCCCATCCTGGGTGATGCAGCACCTCCAGGGCAGGAGGCTGCCCAGCAGCAGGATGTGAGGAATCCATCACACCCGATCTTGCCCTGGCTCCCAGCAGGACGTGAATCACACTTGGGAAATGGGCACACGTGCTTTGCCACAAGTGCCCTGTCCTAACCAAATGGCACCAGTACACCAGTTCTGTGCAGGCAGATGGTCCCTGTGGCTGGTCTGGCCACAGCAGAGCTGCTGTAATGCTGTCCTCATCCACCTCTAGCTGTACTGCTTGTCCTATCTCTTCATAGACATTCTCCTATGTGTCCTTCGTGGCCACCCACCCTGTCCTGCCCAGCCTCCATCCACACCTCATGGGGAGAGTTGGGGGACAGCTCTTTATTCATCCCTTGTCCTGCCATGTCTCGGTGGGGTGCACCCCCCCCCCCCCCCCCGGTGCTGCCACCTTTTTGGGATTGGACAGCCCTACATCCACCCCCAGGTCCTGCTGCTCTGGCCTGTCTTCATTCCACTCTCAGCACTAACCCAGCTACATGATACCCAGGAACCTGTTGTCCAGGAAGATCTTGGCACATTACACCCAAGGGTGCAATCTCCATAAGGGAGAGGAGGAGGCATAGAGAGCTGCAACCTCACAGAGTCAGTTTCTCACCTGCCTGGGAGCTGGGCACTGGTGCCCAGGGAAGCAAGTCTGAGAGCCTCAAAACTTGGCCAGCATGATGTGGTGTTATTGACTGTAATAGCAGGGTGCTCCATGGGAACTGCCCTGGTGTCAGAAAACGAGTGACAGCATCAGGCTATTTGCCATTGGCAAAGAGCAGTGTGCTGAAGCAAAAACCATCCTCCTCCCTCTTTTCCATGGGCATGTTCAGCTGCTGTCAGCCAGGGCTGAGTGACAGGTCCCCCTCCCTGCCTTTCTCTGGGAGGTGGGGCCAGCCAGGTACAGCTGATGTGTGCTGTGGGGAGCAATCACAGTGTTGGGTGAAGGAAGAATCGGGAGCACGCAGGTTTGTGGGTGTCAGCTATTCCAAAGGGAGGAGGGGCAAGGCTGGGAAAGCTGTGTGCTCCCAGGACTCTTCCCACTGCCAGGGTCCAGCAGTCTGTGCAGCCCTGCACTGCTGTGGGTCTGAAGGCCCATGGGCCCAAAAGATACTGAAATCTCCTTGCCAGGTCCCTACACTGGTCTGCATTGTTCCATCCTTGAGTCAGGCCGGTGATCCCTGCCCCTGCTCCAGACCAGTCCCAGACACATGCTGGCACAATTCCATCACGGGTATTCAGCATTCCGTGCAGTACCTACGAAAGGAACTCAAGGCACCCGTGACATCTGCAGGGGAATCTGCCGCCTGCGCCCTCTCATGGCAGCCCTGTGGCTTCTGCAGCGGGTGGGATCACATGCTCCCTGCGCACGCTGGATGCGCGGGGCAACAGCCGGCTGGCAGCCCACCCTGCTCTTCCCAGAGCCAGGCTTGGTACCACACACCCTTGTGCTCACTGAGAGGGTTGGAAATCTCTCCTTGCTCCATTTCCATGGGAGTAAGAACGTCTTTTTCTCCGAGGCTGCACTTGGCTGGAAGCACGCACCCCTCGCTGCCGTGGAGAGTCCCAGGGGGTGTGCATGGAACTGACCAGGGCTGTGGGCTGCAGGTTGCACCAGCCCTTTGTGGTGTGTCTGCAAGGATGAGGCTGGGTCATTACTTGGGGTGAATGAAACCAGGAGAGGTGCAGACCTGCAGGAGCAGGGGCAGGATAAATACCATTGCACATGCTGAGAGCTGTGCATCCAAGGATGCTTTATCAGCACAGTTCAGTGTGTTTCTGCAGCTAGGTGTTCTGTGCAGGAAGCCCAACATCAGTGCAGCCAGCCATGCTACCTGCAAACCAGTTGTGTCACCACCAGCTCAAGGTTGCCAGTGGGGACACCCACACCCCAAAGGCATGAATGCTGCTGCCAGCCACTGCCTGACAGCTGTGCCAGCTCCCCAGGCACAACCTCAGCCGAGGGACTGTGTAATGAGCAGAGCTGCAGGCAGTGCAGACCTCTGTGTGGCACATCTGGCACACAGCAATCATCCAGCAAGTGAAGATTGTGTCACTTCTGAGACTGGCAGAGGGATAGGAAAGGCCCATTGGGAGGCACAGTGCTTAGAGGGTTTTGCTTTAGCAGTTGTTTGGGAAGGAGCTGTCATAGAATCATACAATTAGTCAGGTTGGAAAAGACCTCTAAGATCATCAAGTCCATCTGTTACCCCAGCACTGTCAAGGCCACCACTAACCCATGGCACTGAGGGCCTCGTCTGCACAGTGTGTGAACACTTGCAGGGATGGTGTCTCCACCACTGCCCTGGGCAGCCTGTTACAATGTCTGACGACTCTTTTGGGGAAGAAATTTTTCCTGATATTCAGTCTAAACCTTCCCTTGTGCAGCTTGAGGCCGTTTCCTTTTGTCCCATCCCTTGTTCCGTGTGAGAAGAAACCAGCAGCTTCTCCTGTGGGCTGGTGCAGGGGCAAGGGCAAGGGCAGGGGCAGAAGTGGGAGCAGGAACAGGCGCAGTGACTGAGGCTGGAAAAGAAGCAGGGGCAGGTACAGGCCGGACTCCAGGGCACATCGGCGGTAACGGGCGGGCCACCAGGAGCCTGCAGGGGCGGTAATACCGCCACGCACTGCGGCGGGAGGGGCGGTGCGGGGCAAATTGGGGCGGGGCTGATGGAGGCGTGGCCTCCCGTGGAGAGGCGTGGTCAGACGGGGCGTGGCTGGTCCAGAGACTCCCGCCCGGCAAGAAGAGCCAATGGGGGCCGTGGCGGGCGCGTGGGGGGGCGGGGTCGTGCTGTGGGGAGCGCGGGCCGGACGGGAGGGGAGCGTAGTGCAGTGTGGTGTGGGGTCGGGCCGGGCCGGGCCGCGCCGCGCCGCTTCGGCAGCTCTTTGTTGTCTCTGCCGGTTCGTGGCAGCGGCGAGATGTCACAGGAGAGCCTGCTCGGCATGGATGAGGGCGCGCTGCGGAAGCTGGTGAGTCCCAGCGGCGGCTGGGCCGGGGCACGGCGCGCGCAGCCCGCAGCCCTTGGTCGCTCTGCCTGCCCTGGCTCCGTGACCCGCCGCGGGGGAGGGGCGGCAGCGCTGGCTCCCGTGGCTCAGCGGCAGCGTTGGGCCTGTCCGCGCCTCCGCGGGTGGTGGAGTTGCCGCTTTCCCTCAGCTGGGGCAGTGCTGGGGGATCCCGGCCAGCGGCTCCTGAGGGAAGCCCGGGCTGGGCTGGAGCCTTGGGCACCCGTGAGCGCCTAGCACAAGCCGCCGCCCTGCCCCGGAGACGCCGGAGCCTCCGGCCCTTCAGCACTGGCCACGCTCGGCCCTTTGCTCGCACCCGCGCTCCGGCTGTACCGTCTGTCTGTTGGCTTCATCGCCTTGGCCGGCGGCTCCCTCCTGACACGTTTCCTGATGCCGGCTCCACTACCTGCTCACAACCCTCCCGGTGCTATCTGTCTCGGGAATCTGCTCTTCTGGTGCCCGGTCCTGGCTTGGTGCCGGGAGGAGCTCCCCATGGCCTGTGTCCGCACGGCTGGGCAGCGCCTCTTGTGCAGCCGCTGCTGCAGCAACGTCTGAGGCACTTCCCTTACTTCGGGAGCAAGAACTGGAGCGGAGCTGTGGCCCCATGGCTGCCGGAGCCAAGTGGGCTCGTAGTGGGATGAGCCCGAAAGTGGGACTCTGGGCGCTGGGCTCTGACCCGCTCAGCCAGGGCTGTTCTGGGTATCTCTTACAATGTGCTGCCCACCTCGGGCAGCTCCGCCAGTCCCCTCTAGCCCGGCGGGCTCGGGGCCGGGGCCTTGCCTGGTGTCCCGGGGGCTGATCCCGGGCCGGCGCTGGGGCAGCAGGAAGCTGAGTCAGCCGGGAAGGGGCGGCTGCGGGAACAGGAAAGGGTCTGGGTGCCGCGGGAGCTGCGCCGGGCCCCGGGCAGGGGCTGCCAGATCCTCCTGATGAACCGTCCTCAGCCTGCCCTGGGCGACAAGGTGCAGCCCTACCCTTTGTTCCTGAGCTCAGGAGCCCACTGCCCTCCGTTGGGGCCAGCGCGGGGTCCTGGAGGAGCAGGGATGGGTCATCTGGGCTTTCTCCCTGTACTACCAGTGCTCCGGCCCTGTCATGTCCCAGCTGAGGTCTCTGGGCTGAAATGAAGCCCCAGGAGTGGCGATGGGATGGGTGTCAGGTCTGTGGTGGCTGATTTCTAGCCAGCCTAAGTAGGTGAATTTTTGTCTTTGACATGGTGGGGCTTTGCATCCCCAGAGCACCCTGCTCAGGTTTCCCTGTGCCTGGGCTGGGGAAAGCCTGCTCCAAGCTGACGTGAAGTGGGGATGGAATTATTTTTCTTTCTGGTTAGGTTTTGGCTCCGATCAGCTGGAGGAGGATTAGTCCATATAAGGGAAAACTGCCTCTCCCACCGCTTCCTCCCTGCTCCTTTGCTCTCCCAGCCCTCTGCTCTGGATTTCTTCCTCTCCTTCTGTCTCCCAGCAAGTGAGACTTTGGCAGCAGTGCATTACATCCCTGGAGTCCCTAGAAGAAGGAGGCTGGGGTATGCAAGCAGGTCCCTGCAGCCCTCATGCTGGGATTGTTGCTGTGCTGGGAGCTGCCCAGCTCTACCCCCATCTCCCTTTCATAGGCATCCATGCATTTCTCTCACCAGCTGCCTGCTGGTACTCCAGTCCAGGGGGGAAGCCAGTTGGGATGAACCTATGATGTAGCACGAAGGTGACTAAGGCCTTGAGGAACCTAGAGAGAGAACTGCAGGGGATGTGGTGGGTGCTGCTGCAGGGTGGCTTTTAGCTGGGTGTCTGGAAGGAGGGGGTTATTTGAGTGCTCAGGGCTGTGCTGAGCTCCAGGCTGTGGTCTGCTGGGCCCAGTGCTTCCCTCACCCCGTCCTTCCAGATCTCAGCCTGATTAATTAGACAGGCAGGATGCAAATCCCCTTGCAGGCAGAGGCAGGACAGGCTGGAGAAAAGTTGTGGCCATAAGGTCCCCGTCTTGCAGCCAGTGGCCTTTGGGAAAGGTTTCAATGGCTCTGAGGGGTGTTGTATCCCTGCCACGTACCCATTGCCTGTCTGTCCTTCCTGCTCTCCTCTGCCTGGGAGGCAGCTACACCCCATGGCTCCTTCCAAACGTGACAGCAAAGCTTGGGGCTGCAGGAGGTGCTTGAGGTCCTATCCCCTGAGTAGTTTCCTTGTGGTTGGGCACCAGCCTCCCAAGTGCTCTGTACTCAGCTGCTCTGGGGAGCCGGGTGAATGCAGGGCTACTCCCTGAGGAGCTGCTTACTGTGCTGGGACTCTCACCACTGCCGTGCTTGGGTATCATCAGGAAGGCAGCTCAAGAGTGCATTGCCAGCGCCCTTTTTACAAAGCTGCTTTGTGTGTGTGCCGAGGCGGGCGTTTGCTCATAACCATTAATTTGCTGCTGGCTGGGCAGGGCTGGTGAGGCCCTGGCATGTACCAATCCCTGGGCCTGCCTGTGCTGGCAGGGAAGGGCCCCTCAGCCCTTTCCCATCCCTGGCTCCAGCTGTGGTTTCCGGCATGTTGCTCCTTGCTGCTGGCCATGGAACCTCAAAAGCCACTCATTTGCCTCATCCCAGGTCCATGCTGATGTGGGCTGGAGACAAGGCTCTTTCTCCTGTCCTGCCACTGTTTTTCTTGCGAGAATCCTTCCAGGACCCAGGTGCAGGTCAGATCCCAGCTGAAGCCTCTCAGGCAGAGCTGACCCTGGAGCTAGCAGGCAGGTGTCGCACAGCACACAAGTGCCAGAATGCTCCCTGCTCTGGGGTGCATGGGACTTGTGTTCTATCACATCCTCCCGTTCCAGCACTCCTAGCTCCTGCAGCTACTCCTGTTTCCCCCTATCACCCTGACCCAGCTGCTGGGGCAGAGGCATACACAGCCTGGGGAATGGCCAGGGGCTTGGCTTCTTGGTATGTGGTGAAGGAGTTTTTCTGTCCTCAAGGCCTTTGCATGATTGCAGCGAGCTGTGTTTGCCACCGGGCCAACACCTCCAGCCCCTCGGTTTGGCCTGGACTATACTCCATCACTCCCCCAGCCCATTGCTGCCACCTTGTGAACAACAGAGCTGGGCTTCCTGGCTTCAGCTGGAGCTGCAGGGGGAAAGGCATCTTGATGCCTTTGTTCCTGCAGACAGTCTGCCTGCAGCAGCATCCCCAAGGCCAGGTAGGGCAGGCATAGATGGGAAATGGGAGGCCCTGTAGACTGAGGGGCTGGTTTTCTCCCTGACATTCCCATGTCCTGGCAGCACAGTGGCTCCTGCTCTTCCCAGACACTTCCCTGCCCTTGTACCACCAGAGGTGCCAGCTCCAGATAAGAGCATGAAGGGCTGCAGGCCCCAGCTCCAGCCCAGAGGCAGATAATCTGGCTGCTATGGGATTCGGCGAGTGGCTGCAGTGTGCTGGGAGGGATGGCACTGGGAGCCAGCATGGCAGGGCCTGCCAGGATGGGAGGGAGCACCCTGGCTTCAAGCGACTGTCCCCAGGGTTAGGTGCATCTTCATCACCAGGCTGGCTGAAGGGAGATGCCCTGGAGGTGACAGTCCAAACTGTGAAGCATCCTGCTGGAGTTTTCACAGCTGGGGAAGGATAATGCTCCTGGCTGGGCCTCAGCACTGGTAGGGGCTGGAAGAGCACAATTTTGGCTACCACTGTGGTGGTACGTGGCAGCTCCATACCTGCTGGTTTCACTGGGATGGAAATATCCTCCCCTGGTCCCCAGACCCCAAGCAAGGAGCATGAAGGTCTATGGCTTTGCTGGGGCCTCTGTGCGGGGGGGGGGTTCTGTGTGGGGGCAGTAGTTTGAGGCCCTCAGCACTGCTCTGACTGGATCTGGCTGAGGGACCAGTGTTGATTCCCGCTGCAGCACAACCTGAAGAGCCTGGATGGGTGGCCTCGCACTGGCCTGTGGGAAGGGAAGGAAGGGGACTGATGCTGTTGTCCTGTGGTGCAGCTGTGGCTGCTCCCAGAATGCCAGGGCTTGATGATGGCAGCAGCTGCTGTGGGTCACAGGGTTTATTTTGAATGAGCTCTATGGGAAATTGCCTCCTGGGTTCTCGGCACCGGCTCAGTCCTGATGTCTCGCAGCAGGACAGTGGGAGGACAGTAGGCCTGTGCCTGCCCTGGTTGGCCTTTCCTTGTGGATCCAGCCTTCCACCCCCACTTCAGCATGGCCCCCCTCAAAGCACTTGGGCCAGTGGCAGGACTGGGGCTTTGGGTGCCTCTGCCAAGTCCTGGTGAGTGGTCTTTGGTGGCCTAAGGAGCACCCGTAAGATTTTCATGGAGGGGGTGTGGTGAGGTTGAGGCTATGCTTCTGATGTACAAAGGACTGGACTTTGATTTGGGACAGATTCTGCTCACAGGTTTGGCTCCAAGAGCTGCTGGCAATCCCCTAGTGAGGGTAGGGGAGAGGGCTTTAGGGGGATCGGGGAAACCCTTCCTCTGTACGGTGCTGAGACATCCCCAGCTAGCACCTTTTGAGGTCTGCGGGGGTGGGAGCGGAACAGACTCTCCTGTGTGTTCCCCCCACTGTTGGAGGGGCTGGCATGGATAGGAGTGCTTGTCCCTGTGCTGGTGGCATGTGGGGTAGGGCTGCAGGGGACCCACCCTTGGAGGCTGTGTGGACTACCAGTGGGCATCTACACCACGTGCCCTGTTTCCTTGCCCCTAACATGCCCACCTGGAAGCCCCTCCTTGCCACAGTTGGTTCCAGCATCCTGCCCCGCTTCCCCTGGGGCCAAATAGTGCCAGCAGCACGTGCATGGGCCCAGCCAGACAAACGGCCCCATTGTATGGATGTGTCAGCATGGGTGGCACCACGGTGGCGAGAGCCGGTGCTGAGCCCAGACCTGTCACATCCAGCTGGAGGCAACGCTGGACCTGGCTGAGCGGCGCCGCATCCGCTCGGCCATCAGGGAACTGCAGCGGCAGGAGCTGGAGCGGGATGAAGAGGCGCTGGCATCTAAGCGTTTCCGCCCAGAACGTGGCAGCCACCAGCAGGACAACAAGGAGAACTGGCCACGGTGAGTCTGGACTGGGACCAGGCTCCCGCTCACCCCCTGACTCTGTCCCAGAGGATGGTGGCTTCCAGTGTCCAGCCACACGTGGCTTGGACAGATTTGGAAGGGCATTAGGGTGGGAGCAGCCAGTGACAAGTGGCTTGGCGTGTCAGGGGGGCATTGCCTCAATTTACTGGCTGCCTATGAGGGGACTTACTTCAAACACCCACAGCAGCTCCCACCAGCCACTGTTACTCCACGCAGGTCCCGGCACCTGGAGGAGGAGCAGCAGGCAGCCCTGGCCACCTTGTCCCGGCAGCTTGAAGCCATCACCGATGTGGAAGAGCTGACAAAACTGGTGAGTGTCTGTGTGCCGGGGACACCTGCGTGCTGGGGGCATCCGTGTGCCAGGGCCGTACATGTGTGTGCTGGGGCTGACCTTGCTTCTCTCCCATGTCTTTCCATCCTGCAGCTGCGGGCAGCAGGTGAGTACGAGGAGCGCAAGCTGATCCGAGCTGCCATCCGCAAGCTACGGGCTGAGGAGATCGAAGGTGAGGCATCATCCCCATGTCCTGGAGCTGCTACCTTGGAGAGCCCATGACATGGACAGCTCCTTCCTAAACACTGCCTTTGCTGCTACCCAGCTGCAACCCTGGCTGGGAATGCACAGAGCACGCAGAGGGTCGGCAGTGAGTCCTGCACTGTGCCTGGGGATGTGAAAAGCAGTCGGAGGGATGATGCTGAAACACCAGCCCTGGCTGGGAGGGAGAAGAGCAGCCAGAGGGGTAACATCGAGCTGCCAGCCCTGGCAGGGTGCGGGGAGAGCTGTGGTGAGGCCAGTGCCGAGCCCTTGGACACAGCCAGGAGCAGGGAGAGCAGCCAGCAGGATGATGCAGAGCCACCAGCACTGGCCGGGCCAGAGGAGAGTGGCCATGGAGGGGCTGCAGAGCAGCCCACTGCCCAGGAGCCCAGCAGTTCAGCGGTGAGTGAGCATGGAGCTGCTGGGGAATCAGGACCACTGAAGACCTGCCTGCCCTTCCCTTGAGTTCCTATGTCAGCCTACCTGGGACACAAGCTCCTGGGCATGCGGGGTTCACCCACCCAGGAATACTGGGGCAGGTGGAGTCTCCGGGGGTATGGGGACACAGGTGGGCTGTGCTATGTCAGTGTGCCCCCAGCAGTGGTGAGCTGGTGATAGGGTGCCCCGGGCACCTCCCTGAGCATGCAGCCTGGGTACAAGTGCTGCAGGCAAGAGGTCTGTGGGCAAGAGGTCTGTGGGGACCCACGCTGTGCCTGGTGCACTGCTCATCCTGCCTGCATCAGTTTTCTGGTGCAGGCAGAAGCCTTGATCCCCCAGCAGCCTTCCATGTGGGTTTCTCCTGCTGGCCGTTGTTGGGCTGGGGCTCAGTGGAGCAAGGCTGGTGCTCACCAGCCATTGTGGAGCTCTCTGTACAGGGGTGGGATGAGCTGGCTGGCAGGAATGGGTGCAGTCTGGCTTTTCTGCATGGCGGCAGTGACCCTGCAGGGGATTGCGGGTCTTATGGCAGTAGGAAGCCTCTGCAGAGATGTCGTGCAGTGTTGCCCTTTGGGGGAGAGGGTGCCTCCGTTGAGCCCAGCTTCCTGCTCTGCCAGCCATGGGACAAGGCTGCATGGGGGACATGGGCCTGTGCCACCTTTCAGCACTGTCTGCCTTCCCCATCCAGATATGCTGGCATGCTGTCTCCAGGTCTGGCTGTTTTGGGACACCTCCCGAGCAGCCAGCATGGTGGTCCCACTGCCTGGCTGGTTACTTCAAACCTGAGGCCCTTTCCCTGCAGTGGCACCTGCATTGGGATTGTGGTTTCCCTGTGCCACCTCAGGGTATGGGTTCCTCTCCACCTCCCTCTCCCTGGAGCCCACAAGGATCCCAGAAGCGCTGGCATGGCCAGGACTGGCACCCTGTGCCCTGGCTGGTGACATCAGGACATCCTGGCTCTGCTCAGGCGTATGTCAGGGACACCCTTGTAACCTGTATGTGGTCCTGCACTAAGAGCATCCTATCGTTTGACAGCACCGCCAGTGCCGCAGGCAGAGACAGGATGATGAAAAACTGGGTGCTCCCTGTCACACAGAGTGTGGGCTGTGGGCACGAAGGGGCGGGGTGCTGTGCAGGGGCTGTCCTTTCTTTCCGACCTCTTGGCATCCATGCTGGACAAGACTGGTGTAGTTCTGGCAGGGGCCACAGAGGGACTCAAGAGCCAGCTCCTTGCTCCATGCCCTGGTGCTCATCAGCCCCACACAGAGTGCCAGGAGGCCCAGGGTGCGCAGGATTTGGCCCCCCCCTTTGATAGGCACAGCATCCACTTCCCTACCTGGTGGAGGCAGAAGGGCGTGGGGACACTTGCCCTCCTGACAGCGTCCTGCAGTGACCCCTGTGCAGGAGTTGGCTTGTCCATCCTTGGCAGCACCCAGGTCCCTGCCTGCACAGTGTGGGAACAGGCCACAGCCTGTGGCAGGGATAGGACAGGGTGATCTGGTCAGAGTGGAGTGGGGCTGGCCCTGCTCTCAGCCTCTGCTCTCCCCAGGCCCGTGAGCAAGATGACATGGTGAACCAGGAATGCATCCCAGGTGGGATGCAGGAGCTACACAGCTGGCAGGCAGGAGACTCCCAGAAATCCAGCACCCAGGGTGAGTTCCCATGAATGCTGGTGACAGAACCCCATCTGGGTGCATGTCCAGGGCCAGAGTAACACCAGGATGAGCGGTGGGGAGGGGTGGGAGGATGGAGAGGATGGCGCAGCATCTCCCAAAGATGCAGGCAGGGAAGCCAGATGCCTGGTGTGGCTGAAGGAGCAGGGATGCTCTGCAGGCAGTGGCAGGCTTCACCCCCATGCACAGCCTCTTCTGTCTCCCACAGCTGCAGTTTCAGGTACCCTGGTGCTCCTGGAGCTGCAGCTGGCCCCAGAGCCTGTTCCACAGCTCAAAGATGCTGGCAAGGACCTGAATCGGGGTCAGCTGTGCTCCCCAGTTACTGCCCAACCCAATGGGCACCAGGCAGCCTGGAAAGATGGGAGCCCAGGCAGCCCTGCCACCACCCAGGAGCCCAGTGAGCAGCAAAGCCACCGAGTGGAGCAGCCCCCCCCCAGCCAGCCCAGTTCTGGCAGCCAGGTACAGACATGGCAGCACGGGCTGGGGCCACCACTGCCAGGGGCCAGCAGTCCTGTGGGTGAAGGCTTGGTGGTGTATGCTGACTGCACTGCGTGTTTCTCTCCCTGCAGCTTGGTACCGCGGTGCATGGTCATGTGCCAGGGCCAGCCGGGAGGTGCAGGGAGCAGTCATCGGGTAAGTGCAGTCTCATGGGGAGGGAGAACTGGGGCTCTGCCCTAAGTCCCGCAGCTAGGCAGTGCTTTGCCCCCCTGCCCTGCAGCACATGTATCCCAATGGTGCCAGGAAGGGTGTCAGCCCTGGGGATGTGACTTAAGTCCATGCAGTCTGGGGCAGGATGTGGCCTAACAAAGGGCAATTGCCAGACAGGGGTCATTTTTCCCCCAGCTTGCAGTGGCAGTGCCTGCACCAGCCTGATGCTGGACAGGCTGTTTACCCATCCCCCAGTTCCAGGCCAGGCAGCAGCAGGGCCATGAAAGGGAATCCGTGCTGGCAGCAAACTCGGTCCTTTTACATTCTTTGACCCAATAAGGCCAGGAGCCATGTCCCGGCTGGCCCTGACACCCCCACCGAGGCCACACTCACTGGTCCAGCCACCACCCAGCACCATCTGGGTCCTCCCCACAACCTTGACAGGTCCTGGGGCCAGCAGCTGCTCTCTCCCAACTGCTGGGAAAACTGTCCCCACAGCTGTGCCAGGAGGAAACACGAAAAAAAAATCCAGAAAGCAGCTCTCTGCCCCCAGGGATCAGGGTCAGGCATCCTCAGATTCACCCTTGCAGGCAGAGGTCCTATCCCTCCAAGAAGCCCCAAGGAGCTGCTGGCTCCTGGGAAGGCAAAACCCTGGGGTGATGCTGGGGGTGGTGGGCTGCAGCGTGGCACAGCCCTGGGGTGGAGGGAAGCATGCAGGACCTGACACAGACATCCCTTGCCTCATTAGGGGCTCAAACCTGGGTGCTGGGGAAAGGCTGAGTCCTTGCCTACGCAGAACTTTGGCATCAGTGACTCTTGTCCCAAGCCAGAATGCTGCCTGTTCAGTGCCTACCTGCACCCCGGGGGTTCCCTGGATGGGGACTGGAACACCACCTACTCCTGCTCTCCAGAACTGATTGCTGGGCTGGCTGTGCTGTGCCAGTGCCTGGTGGGCACAGGAGTGATTGCAGTGTTTTGGCAAAGGCTCCAGGTACCACTCCTGACTCGACAGGGTGTGAGTACCCCAGTTTCTGGTTTGCCCTGCTCCACAGTGTGGCTTGGTGCTGCAGGGCACAGCCAGCTGCCTGGAGTGCACGACAGCCTGTGAGTGCTGCCAGAGTTCAGCTCTATGCTCCAGAGAGTGTGGGGTGACGGAGGGATCCACAGGGTGCTGCACTTGGCAGATGGGTGGGAAGGGATGGCAAGAGAACCCTGTGCTGTGCTCACCTTCTGCTCCCCTTGTCCTGAGCCTTGCATATCTGGCTTGTCCCTTCCAAAGTGGCAGTGCCAACCCAGGATGTGGCAGGGACCCCGGCTCGCCTGAACACTCACCAGTGGGAGCAGACATCCTCCTCCCTGCGCCTGCCTGGCCGCACAGGTAAGCTCCTGCAGCAGCTGCCTCCGCTTTGCTTCACAGTGGTGGGAGGTCCATCGTGGAGCCTGGGCAGGCATAGAGCTTCATGGTGTCAGGATACTGGATGACTCTGCTCCTGCTTTCCTGCTCGCTGCCCAGCATTTATTCCTCCCCACCCTTGTGCGGAAGCAGCCAGGCCCCAGCAGAAGTGGGGGCGGATGAGGACAGGATGACACAGAAGCTTCAGGAGGCTGCAACCACCCCAGGGGGAGAGCATCCGACAGTGTTGCATGTGTGGTGGGGTCTCTGGGGGGCAGCATGCACTGTGTGCTTCGTGCATGGCAGGGCACCGGAGCCGGGTGGTGGGGCACCCCAGGGCAAGGGCTATGCATGCTTCCTGGAGGGTCCCCCGCGGAGCTCACATGCATGGTGTCGGCGAGTGCATCACGGGTGGCAGGGACACCCGCGCGTTGCTGCAGGCCCGGTGACCCCCCGCTCCCGTCCCCGCAGAGCCGAACCCCGCCGCTCCGCCGCTGCGGGCTGCCTCCGTGCGGGAGCGCGCCCAGCGGTTCGTCCCTGCCGGCGCGGGGCCGGCCCCCAGCGCCGCGGCAGCGGCGGGGGGACGGGCCAGGCCCGGCCAATGGCAACGGGGGCCACGCACGGCCACGCCAGGGCCCTCTCAAAACTCGCGGGGCTGCGGCGGAGGAGGCGCAGAGCAGTGCCCGGCCTCGGTCGCCGCCGGTCGCAGTCCTGGCCTCGACGGCATGAAGACCTACTTCACTATCGAGATCAAGGATGGGCGCGTGCAGCCCCTCACACCTCGCGTCCTGGCCACTCCTGGCAGCCAGCGGGCAGGTGGGCATCGTGCAGGAAGTTGGGTGACAAGGGCAGGGGCAGCCATCAGGGATGGGGTGAGGATGACACAGACGTGTGGCATCCATCAGAAGACTGGAAGATGGGTGGCAGGGGCAGAGAGCACCCGTGGTGAAGATGGGATGGGAAAATAGGTAGTGTAAGGATGATGGGCCTAAGTAGGCATCACTCAGGGAGGTGAAACTGGGGGAGGTGAGCACCCATCGGGCACCATGGGGGCAATGAGCACAAGCAGGCAGGTGGGTGCTGGTAGGGTCATGAGCACCATGGGAGAGTGCTCCTGACATCATGATGTGCACAGTTGGGCAGTGCAGGTAATAAATGGATGTAAGTGGGCAGATGGGCACCAGTGAGCAGGTGGAAACCAGCATGCATGTGGGCAGGAGTGGGTAGTGATGGACTAGCCAGGGATCTCTGAAAAACAGCAGCAACAGTGGCATTTGGGTGCTAGTGACTGAGCATGAGCACTACCAGAAGAGCAGAGGCTTTGGCAGAAGTGCGCTTGACAGCCTGCACTGCTTGGCGAGGATGCTCAGCCTGCTCATGGTATCTCAGTACTGGGCAGCCATCTGGCCTTGCAGCCTGTTCCCGTCCCCACCGTGCTGCGCCGTTCATGCCCTGCCCCTGATCCAGCCCTGCCGGCTCACAGACGTGACTGGCTCAGAATTATCCTGGGGCAGTCCCTCAAAAGGGGGTGTCTTGGCTCCAGATGGCATGTTGCTGAAAGTGCCCTCCCTTGGGGAGGAGGATGAGCCAGGGTGCTGAGGGGGTTCTAGCTGCCCCATCCCTTGGCTGTGCCCAGAGCCCTTCCCCTTTGGCAGAGCTCAGTGCCATCGTTGAGGCAGGATGCGTGCGGCAGGCCAGCAGTCCAGCTGGAGCCACTTCTCGGATACAGGGCTGAGCCTGCCGAGCTGGGGCAAACCCCATGTGCCTCTTGTTCCCCTTGCAGAGGTGACCCTGGGGCTGCGGAGCACCCCCATCCGCATCACTACCATCCCCAGCAGTGTCAGCAGTATCTGCAACATCAGCAGCAATGTCACCAAGGTGAGTGCCCAGAAGGGCTGGGAGCTATGGGGCCATGTCCCACTTGATCATGACCTGGGGTCTCCTGGCCTAGGGTGGGGAACAATGACCAGGGAAGCTGGGTTGGTGCTGGCAGCACAGTCTGTAGCCTCTGGCTGTTTCTTTGGGTGGGCTCTTTTGGAGGGGGTGGGAGTGGGGTGTTTGTGTAGGTTGGGGTTTTGCTATTTGCTTTTTCTTTCTTTGTTTTAAACAAAGAGATGCTGGGGATCTCTATGTGGATGCCCAGCCCCAGGCGTGGGAGCTCCCTGCATGCTGTACTGTGCCACTGTGTGTACAAACACTTGAGGGTGTGGGGGAGGTGGGCTGGGGGCCTTTTGTGGGTCTCCTTCCATTTAAAACACTTTATGGTGCAGGAGCTCAGGGTAAAACCCATCACAACCCTTCCTTCTTGTCTTTCCTCTTGGAAATGGACTTTGGCTGTGAAGCCTTCCCAAGGGTATCTGATTGACCCTGGAGCTGCAGGCTGGGGTCCTGCCTTCCCCCACTTGGCAATGCCAACAGCAGAGCAGCAGCCCTGGCCTGGGGGGGGATTCTTGGGTACGACTGGAAAAAACAAGGCAACCCTCTGCTGTCTTTGGGGCAGAGCATGATGTGGCCCCTTCCCATGTGCTGGCTGGGGGGAGCTGGGTGCACACACAGCCCTTCAAGTGCTTTTATCTGCTCCTGCCCATCTAGGGTAATGCGAGGCACTTGTGCACGCAGCCTTGGCAGGAGCTGGGATGTCAAGTAGGGCACTACCTTGCTCCTGGCCCTGTGAGCACCCGGCTCAGCTGGCTGCCTCTGCAGGCACAGCACTGCTGGTGGCCATGGCAGCATTGGCTCACCCTATGAAGCAGGCAGTGCCTACAACCTGGCAGGGCTGCCCTCTAGTACTGCCTGTATGAGCCAGTGGGTCCTGCTGCCTGCAGGAGGGGTGGCTGCCCTGTGCTAATGCGCTTGGACAGGCTTGGCCTGAGCAGCCCAGTCACTTCTCATTAAGGTATTAGCTGTGCTACCCGGTGGGGTGGGGGCTTTGGGATCCATTGGCTGCCCAGCAGGAGACACGGCCTACAGGTGTGCTCCCAGTGGGCAGGGAGGAGGAGGCAGCAGCCACAGCGGTGCTGGCAGCCCTGCCAGGTAGGGCTTTGGTGGAGGGGACTGGTGGGCTGTGGGGATTTGGGGACAGTGCTGCTGCAGTATGTCCATTCGCTGGTGGGGTCCCCCTGGGGTGTTCATCAGGCAGCACAGGGGATGGAAGTCCCCAGACATCACAGCTGGTAGCCAAGGCCATCACCAGTGCTAGCCTGGGACTGGAGATACTGTTCTGTGGGTGATGCTGGCCAGGAGTAGGAGGGCACCCAGGCAGAAGGGTGCATGGGTGGTCCATGGCCCTGGAGTGCACCTAACAAAATGATGGTCTGGGGTTGACCCTGCCTGGGGGCTCTACCCCACTTGCTGTGCCCCACAGCCCCCCACCCCTGGCTGGTGTCAAGGGCCCTGGCAGCTGCTCCAGGTGGAGCGCACTCATCAAGTTCCCTCTTGCCAAACCACCTGGTCCCAGGGCTGGAAACATGTCCAACTGCTGGCACCTGCCTCAGCACCCCTGTGCGGGACCCCCCGGGTGCTGCGATAAGAATAGCCCAGCAGGCGCAGAGCTGTGCCGGGCCAGCCTCCAGCCAGGGGGAAGCGCCTGGCGCCCCTATAAAGGGCAGAGGACAGCTGAGCACCGGCACTGCTGCCATGCTGGGGGTCAGCATGGAGGGGCTGGCGCAGGCCGGAGCGGCTGAGCTGGCCGAGTTGCGGCAGGAGCTGGGAGCTTTCCGGGGAGTGGTGGAGGGGCAGCTGGAGCAGGCGCTGCAACGGGTGCAGCCACTGGTGCTGGTGCTGCGGTCACTGGAAGAAGAGCACTGGGAGCTGCGGGCAGAGCTGGCGCGCCTGGCTCGCCGCCTCGACCTGCTGGTGCTGCAGCTGGGGCCACAGGATTCCCCTGGGGAGGACCTCAGCACGCTCTTTCTGGAAGCACAGGACCCTTGCGCCCACTTTGAGGGCACTGAGGAGCTCAGCGGCCCCGTGGCCCATCCGCCCACTTTCTCCAGCACTCGCCAGCAATCAGCCCTGCATCTCTCCCGGAGCAACAGTGGTGTGAGTGTGGGCAGCCCTGCCCCATGGCAATGCCTAGCGGTGGGGTGGGGAGTGGCACCAGCCCACAGGGCTTCCGGCAGCCCTGGGGGTGCATGGAGTCAAAGCAGCACTCCTAGCACGAGGTGGGACCGTGGCTGTGGTGCACAGGCAATGTAATGTCACCGGGATCTGCCACCATTTGGGCTCACTGCTGTGGGGGACAATCGGCATCTGCCTGCTCTGCATTGTCAGCGTTCCAGCCAGGCTGCAGGCAGCTGTCCTGCTCCATCCCACACAGCAGTGGTGGGGCACAAGTGGTGGCATGGGTGCGTGTGGCCAGTGTCACTTCCCACCAGTGGCTTTGACATGGGCTGGGTGCCAGGCAGGGGCAGCAGGATGCAGGATGGGGCCAGGTGAGTGTTGGGGCTGCTTCGGCTCCCCACGCTGGCATCTCCTCTCTGCAGCCTCCGTGCCCTATTCCGGGCCTGGCCTGCTGCCTGCCACACATTGCTGGGGAGTTGTGCTGAAAGGGACTTGGCGTTCTGGCTTTGCTGTGGTGGGGGCCAGGGTGTCCTAGATTCTAGGTAGGAATGCGGGGGAGGCTCTTGATCTTCTGCACAAGCTTTTCTGTCTGCTAAGTCCTTTAATTCCCTGGAAATCCCTTGTGCTGCTAATGGCCCACACTGGCCTTGCCAGCATCTTGCCTGCTCCAGGCACTGCCCAGCCTGAAGCACCCATGCAGTCCCTGTCTGCTGGAGAGCCCTGGCAGCCTGTGGTGATGGAACATGGTGAATATTTGCAGATGTCTTGGCTGCCAGATTGGGCCCTCGCAGACTAGGGGGTGCTGCAGTCGGGGACGTTGTGCTCTCCTGCCTGCCTTGGTCACCGCAGGCAGCTGCAGCATCCCACCAGCTGTGAGCTCTTACGCCGCACGTAGCATGTCTTCTCCAGTGTCCCCATTGCCCTTGGCACTGAGCGAGTGTCAGGGTGATGGGAGACTTGGACCCTGAGCAGCAGGGAGTGGGGGTGGCCGAGCTTGTGGGGGTTCAGTTGCACAGTGCTGTCCTTGCAGATGGAACCAGAGATGGTAGAGCAGCCCCAGGCACCAAGGCTGGAGTCAGAGCTGCCCAACGGCATGGAGAAGGTCCAAGTGAGGGAGATGGAGAGAAGAAGCAAACTGAACGTTGAGGAACTGAACAGGATTGAGGATGAGGATATTCTGGATAAGATGGTACCTCTGCCACCTCTGGGCTCCTGGGGAAAGGTGAGGAGACCCTGAACTGGTGGCAGAGAGGTGATGCTGAGCTCCACCTCCTTTGCAGCTGGATCAGACAACAGACTTTGAGGAGCGGCGACTGATCCGAAATGCCATGCGGGAGCTGCGCCAGCGCAAGAGAGGTACATGGGGATGGTGATTCCCACAGGGGTCGGGGCTCTAGTGGTGGCATTGCCGGTGAAGTGCCGGGACACTGGTGTGGGGCTTTGTGGCTGTGGTGAAGCAGGAGAGAATGTTTGGTCTTATGCTGGTCCCTTGGCTGAGCCAGGCTGAGGACATTGTGCTTCCCATAAGCCAGTTCTAGACCAGCAATGGCCAGCAGGACCCCTGGTGTGTGGTGGGACAGTGCCCAGTGCTCCTGCCTCTCGTGGCTGATACTATCTCCCACCTGCATTTGCAGACCAGCGAGAGAAGGAACGGGACCAGCGGCTGCAGGAGACTAGGACCCAGGCTATCGCAGGGAGGGCTGGGCACACCACAGAGACGACCACCACACAGAGCACCCAGTCAGCCGATGGCTTGGCACGCAGCACCGTCACAAAGACCGAGCGGCTAGTCCAGTCTAGTACGGGCTGGGGGAGTGTGGGGGTCACTTACCCAGCACAGCCAGTGCTGTGTGCCAGCCCCTCAGGGACTTGTGCAGAGTGTCTAGTGCTCTGCCATCACAGCTCCTGTGTGCCACTCCCACTGCTTGTCCTGGGTCTGCCTTGACTGCACTGGGAGCAGGACTATGGGTCAGGGCTGAGTTTTACTGCATCTCCTTTGGCTTGCTCTGGCTGCCTGGGATCTTTAAGGAATCTGCTTTGGAGATTTCCCAGCCAATCCTCCAGCCTGTCAGCATGGTAGGGGCCTTGTCTGCATCTCAGACCTGTTTTCTGGACCCTGTACATCTACTCTCACAGTCCCTGAGTGGCTCAAGCCAACAGTTGCTGCAGGGCTTTGCCTGGGGGGTGTATGCCATCAGTGCCCCCTCTACCTGCCCCGGCCATGGCTTTGCCCCGAGACTTCTTCCTGTTGCACTACATGGATGCCAGGGTGCTTGGCAGCAGTGTGTGTCTGTGGGTGCCACTGCACCTGGCCCCAGCTGATTCACCATTGCATTGCTCTCTTGCAGGCAATGGTACCAAGACCTCCCGTACCACAACCATGGAGTCGAGTTATGTGAAGAGATCGGATAGTAAGAACTTCTGCTGCCCTTTCCCTGCAGCATCCTCTGGTTATAACCATGGGTGTTGCTGCTGTCAAGCCATTCCTGCCTGTGGTGCACGCAGAGCTTCTCTCGGCTCTTGCCCAAGGCCTCTCTCTTTCTGCAGATGGCAACAGCACATTTGTTCAAACCAAGTCATCCTACAGCTCCTCTTCCAAGAAGACTGGCAGGTGAGTGGTAGTGTCTCTGGGTAGCCGCAGGTGGACAGTCTGCTTGTACAAACCCTATCTACCAAGCTTGCAGTGTCCCTGTGCTGGGGTGCCCCCAAAGCTTCCTGGTCCCTGGGGCATGCTTGCTTCCTTCAGTGGTCCCCATGTGTCCATCCATGTGCATGGAGACGTGTCTGCCAGCTGGGGACCTTAAGCCACCCCTCTTCTTTCCCAGGGATGTGGAGGTCTTCAAAGCACCAGGGCTGGCAATGGGCTGGGGCCACCATGTGCCCTTTCCCAGGCTGCCCGTGGCCCCCTTATCTTTGTGTCTATCTCTTCCCCAGCATCTTTGACCGTGAAGATGAGAGTGCCTCGAGGCAGAGCAGCCTGGCTGCGCTGGAGAGGCGCCAGGCTGAGAAGAAGAAGGAGCTGATGAAAGCTCAGAGTCTGCCTAAGACATCAGCCTCACAGGCTCGCAAGGCCATGATGGAGAAGCTGCAGAAGGAGGGTGGGAGGTGAGGCTGGGCAGGGGACAGGCTGGCCGAGATGGTGGGCACTGTGTAGTTAACACTCCGCATCTTCTGCCACAGCTCACCAAACCCCATAGCGGCACGCACTGCGGTGCAGCGCTCCTCCAGCTTTGGCGTACCCAATGCCAACAGCATCAAGCAGATGTTGCTGGACTGGTGCAGAGCCAAGACCCGGGGCTATGAGGTGAGTACCACCTCCTCCCCCACCTCCAGGGCTAGTCACTCTGCCCCTCAGTAACGCTCCTGCCCTCACAGCACGTGGACATCCAGAACTTCTCATCCAGCTGGAGTGATGGCATGGCCTTCTGTGCCTTGGTGCACAACTTCTTCCCTGAGGCGTTTGACTACAGTCAGCTGACACCCCAGAATCGTCGCCACAACTTTGAGGTGGCCTTCTCCTCTGCAGAGTATGTAGCTCGTATGCCACCATGGGCACTTGGGGTGGCTCAGGCAGCTCTCCTGCTCGCTGCCCAGGGCGAGGGGGCACGTGGGCAGGCGCGATGGTGCTTGAGGTGGGTGCCCATCAGCATTGCTCCCCCTTGTTCCGCAACAAGGTTTAGACACCAGGGGAAAAGTAGTGTCAGTACAGCCCAGTCTGGCATGGTGAGAGTGGGTGTGGGGGAGAACACCCAAAAGCAGGGCAGCAGCCCCCCAGCCCACCCAACCACAGGTGATACATCCCTGTAGGACCTCAGGGTGTAGGACCTCAGCCCCTGGGGAGTGGAAAGCAGGGTTTGTCCATACCAGGTGCCTCCTTTCACAGTCTTCGGGGCTCAAAACACTGTTGCAGCTTCTCCGGTCTCTTCCCTTCCCCTTTTGCTTCTGGTTTTCCTGGGTGCTGAGAGATGGGAGCTCGTCCAGCTGAAGGGCTGGCAGTCAGCCCCTCTATCCTTCCTTCTGTCTCTCTCCCACCCACTTCTCCACTCCAGCACCCTGCCCAGGGGCAGGGCCAGGCAGGTGGGGATCCCATCCTGGCCAGTGCCTGGCGTTGTGGCGTGAGCTGGGAGGGACTTCCTGTGAGTTCCCTGGGTGCCATGATGCCATTCAGGGGAGCGAGAAGAGGGCCAGGTGCCTGACTCTTGGTGCTCCTGGTAACAGACTTTTTGTCTTAATCGGGGAACCGGTGTGTAGACTTGAGAGAGCCATCGATCGCTCCAGCCTGGAAGCCAGGTGGCCTCTCATCCTTCCTCCTCCTCCAGCTCTTGTGAGCACCTTCTCCCGAGCTTCCTGCACCAGGGCTGTGCTGCGCGGTTCCAAGTGGAGCTGGACAGGAGGGCTGGCCTTGCCCCCCCATCCTCCCAGTGGATGGCTATATAGAGGCTATATAGAGTGCCACTCTGCTCTGGAACCCGCTCCCCGAGCACCTGGCGCACCAGAACACCTCACTCCTCCTTCTTCTCCATCTGTCTTTATCTCTGGACCTCACGCCTCTTCACGCCACTCACCTGCCTTCCCCATCCCTTGCTTGTTCCCCCCCCCAACAAATCTCACTGAATGGCCTTGGCGCAGTGGTGCCTGGAGCCCTCCTGCCTCTGCATTGTGCACCCCCAGAGCATGTGGGAGCAGAGCAGCATCTGCCCGGGGGAGGGATGGGAACTGCATTGATCTGTGTCTCTTTGTTTTCTCTCTTCCTCCCCTCCCCGACTGGGCTGCGGTCACTGGCTTGCCCCTCTCTCTCCCTGCCCCCAGGAAGCACGCGGACTGTCCACAGTTGCTGGACGTGGAGGACATGGTCCGGATGCGCGAGCCAGATTGGAAGTGTGTGTACACATACATTCAGGAATTCTATCGCTGCCTGGTCCAGAAGGGGCTGGTAAAAACCAAAAAGTCGTAGCCCATTTCCACCCCCCCCGGGAGCGATGGTGAGAATCTTCCCCTCCACATACCTGCCTGCGCCCACCGCCATGGCTTGGCCCAGGGAGTGGCCATCATGGCTGGGAAAGAGGCTGGGGGCTGCCCATGGGCAAGGGGCAGGTCCTGGCAGTGTTGGCCAGCAGAGCTAAACTCTGGCCAGGAGAGAGGGATGGAGGCTGCTGGCTGGCCTCTAGCCCTACAGTATAGCACCCATGGGAATTGGGGAGGGGAAAGGGTGATGGGAACACACATGGGACAGAACATGACACGTGTCACCCTGGGGGGCCTGTTGGGTCTCCAGCCATGGGGAGGGTGCTAGTGGGAGCAGAGCTGCTGTAGAATCATAGAATCAACCAGGCTGGAAAAGACCTTTAAGATCATCAAGTCCAATCTTTACCTCAGTGCTGCCAAGGCCATCACTAAATAACATCATTAAGGGCCTCATCTACATGGTTTATGAATGCTGCCAGGGACGGTGACTCCAGCACAGCCCTGGGCAGCCTGTTCCAATGCCTGACCACCCTCTTGGGGAAGAAATTGTTTCTAATATCCAGTCTAAACTGCCCCTGACGCTAACCATGGCTCTTCCCTCCCCATTGGCCAAGCCTGATGCAGGGCATTAGCTGCTGGGGATGCCATGTGGGGCATTCTGCATCAATGGTGCCTGGTGTGGGTGACCCTCCCCAGGTGCCCCAGTATTGCTGCTAGCACATGATGACTCCTTCCCCTCACCCAGGATATGCAGGGGCTGCCCTATGGGTACAAGGCCAGGCATGGGCCATGATGCCTGGCCTGCACAGTGCTGCCTGCTCATATATGGGCAAGAGTGGGAAGCCTGGAAAGTGTGACTCAAGGCTTGGGTCCTGCCTCGTCTTGCAGTGTTTGTGCCTGTCTTCAGGGGCATCCCAGCTGTGCTGGAGCAGCTGCTCCCCTGGGCCGTGCGCAGCACTGGTGCACCACGTCCCAAACAATGGCTTTATAAGGGCAGAGCTGTGCTCCTTGCACTACCGTTGCTTTGCTATCGCCCCTGAGCCAGGGTTGGGGGGGGGGGGGGGGGGCACAGGAGCTTAGGTGGGGGCTTTTCCAAGGCCCTGTGCAAGCTACCCAGTATGTTCTCCCCCACGACCACATCAGGAGGTAGGACCAGGGCTAGCCAAGCTGTGGCCTTGGAGCCCTTCGACTCCAGCACAGCAGAGGTCCTGTGGGAAAGCTGGGGCAGTGGACCACAGCAGCAGGGTCCTAGTAGAGCCCTGGGCTGGGGACTGTCCTTGGCGCTGGTGCTCCCCAGGGTGCTGGCACCATCTGGGGCTCCCTCCTCAGCTGTGCCTGCTGGATTATGTTGTGCTGAGGGACAGGATTCCACCAGGAGTTACAGTAGTCTGGGGGGAGCAGCATGGGGTTTGGACCCTCCTTATGTTTAGAGCCTAGTGCCCCCACTGGAGGGTGGTCCCGGGGCCAGACCAACTGAGCTAGCCTTAGCAGCAGTGGGTGCTGCCCGTTTGCACAAAGCAGCCACCACCATAGCCTCTGGCGTGGGCACTCCTGGCTATGTCAGCTATTTGCAGTAGCAGCACACTGGGGTGCTCCAGTAGTCTGTCCCCAGGTAGGTGCTGGCACCTGCCCAGCTGCCTGGTCAGAGCTGCAGGCAGTGCAGGTGGTGGCAGCAGTGACAAGGTTGCTGCTTTGCCCACCCAGCAGAAAGGAGAAAACAGGTGGCCAGTTCCCCTCTGTGCTCTGCCCTGCCCTGCCTGCCTGTTCACCATGACTACCCCAGCTATACTGGCAGCCCATGGAGCTCGGGCAGGGTCGTGGGGCAGGAAGAGCAAGGGCAGGGTTATCATTCCACTGATGGACTGTGGCAGAGCCTGGAGGCTGTGGGGACTGGGAGGCAGCTATAGATACTCTGCACAGACCCCAGTACTGCACAGGAGTCTGGCCTGGGAAGTGGTAGACAGACCAGTGCTGAGCTGGTTGAAGCTGGGCAGTACCCATCCCACTGGTGGTGGTGTTCTGTGCCTGGGGTAGGCAGCCCCTCAGGCTCCAGTCCAGGATGGGGGAGGGGACTAGGCTGGTAGAGCTGAAACAATGGAGGAGAGCTGGGCCAGGGCTTGGAGAAGGAGTGATGGGCAGCATGTGATGAAATTCCATCCTACTTTCCCTGAACTAGCCAGTGGGATTTTGGGTGGAGGAAGAAGAGGGTGGGCACAGCCTGAGCAGGGGGTGACTCTCAGCAGCAGGAGCCAGGGTAGAGGGCACTAGGAGTGCAAGGGGTGCGGGCAAGCACACAGGCAGTCCCTCTTGCTTCTTACAGTGCCAGGAGCAGCAGAAGTGTAGGTACAGAGGGGTGGACAAGAGCTGAGTGGGGCTGACGGCAGCAGTGCCCAGCACCAACAGCCCCTGGGGTGTGGGTCACCTATTCCAGCCCCTACTGTGGGGCAGCCCACACAGTGCCATGCTGAGTGCTGCACTCCCACAGGACGCTGGTGGACTGCGTGCCCCTGGTGGACGTGGAAGACATGATGATCATGGGGAAGAAGCCGGATGCCAAGTGTGTCTTCACCTATGTGCAGTCCCTCTACAACCACCTGCGTCGCCACGAGTTGCGCATGCGGCAGAAAGAGTGCTAGAGCCTGTCCTGCCTGCCACCCCCTGCTCTCAAGGAGCTGCCTGCCTCAGGAAGGCCTGTGGTGGGGAGGGGCTCTGCCACAGGGCACCCCTATGCCTCTGCCTTGCTGGAGCCCCCTCTGCCCTGTCCAGCTGTGGGCTGACCACGTGGGCAGGGCAAGGCAGGCACTGCCAGGATGCTCTGCAGCTTGGCTTGCTTCCCACACACCGGTGTGTTATTTGTTCTCGAGGAGTTCTTTGTCCTGTGGGCAGCACCCCTGGGTGCCTGGGGAGGCTCAGGCACTCCTATGCTCTCAGGCTTGGGGCTGGCAGTGATCAGCAGCTGCATGGTGTGACCTCGGTGTATCCTGCAGGCAGCACAGCTGAGTGGTTCTCCTTGGCCCCCTGTGAGGAAGTTCCTCTGTCCACCACAGGCCCTGCCTGGTGCCACCTTGCTGTGGCCAGCTCCATGGCCCTGTGCTGAAACCCTGCTTCCCACCATGCACGTGCACCCTGGGATGCTTCTGTACTGGGGGGCTGCATTACCCATGTGCTGGGGAGTGGGCAGGGGGGTTGAGGGGTCCCAGGGGAGCAAGGGGCCCAAGGAGCAAGCCCAAAGAGCAGCCCCTGCTTTCTGCCCCAGCTCAGGGCACCACGTGCTCAGCACTGCTCACCCTTCCATCACTGTCTCTACACCTGTGTTGACACATGTTCCAAAACAGGCAATAAAGGTTTACTCTATATGATGACACCTCTTCCTCAGGTCCTTGTTCCCAGCCACACTGCTGCTTCATGCCACCAGCACTGGCAGCTGGCTGCAACAGACCTCTTTGCCTGTGGGCCCCCTGCTCACCCAGCCCAGGGGGATGCAGGGCACATGCTGCCCCTCCTGCTCAGAGATGATGCCCAGAGCCCAGTGACACCATCAGCATCCCACCATGACCAAGAGCTGCTGGTTTCCAGCACTGCAGGATCCACTCATGGGCTCGTACTTGTGCCCCACGAAAGCAGCTCATCCCAAGCCCCATCCATACATCACACTGAGGAGGGAGTGGCACAGGAACAGCAAGGTTATTCCACGGGATGGTTTGTCAGCTTGCCAGCAACAAGCTACTGTGACACCGCTGCCCCCTCCTGCCTCCGGGCACCCAGCTCCTCCTGGCACCCAGTACAGAGCACTGCAAGATGCACCCCACTAAGCCCTCCCTGGAAAGATGACACAGTGCAGGCAATTGTATGCAAAGGCTTTACTGGGGGCTCTATACAAGACAACCTTGCTGGGGCATAAAGACATAACCCCTCTGGGGACAGCTTTCCACCTCCAGGACTCAGCACATCAACCCTCAGCACCTGGGGCTTTCTGCTGAGGGTTTCATTCTGTCCCACGCAGGTAGGATATTGCTGCCCAACACCAGGAGTCAGCTAAACCTCGCAGCACTGAGAGGGAGCACAGCAGCATTCCTGTCTGGGAATACTGGGCTGCAGGGGAAGGAGGGCAGCAACAGGTACACAAGACCCCTGAGAGGGCCACAATGCCCATGAAACCCCTGGGGCAGCTCAGGGAGTCCTTGGTGCAGAGGCTACACAGCACCAAGTAACAACAGGAGCACCTCTGCCACCCTGCAGCACCATCCCCAGCTGCTGTGATGTCCTTATCCCTGCACACTGGGGACTGGCTGCAGGAACTTCTCTCGGCTGCAGCACCCTTCGCTAGAGGTCTGGGTGTTCCCCCTCGTTGTGTTTCAGTGGGGTCTCAGCATCAGCAGTGGGAGTTTGGGGAGGTGGCAGTGTGGGCAGAGGCCTGGCAGGCGCAAACCGAAACTCCTCAGGCACAGGGGCATCAGGTCCCTCCTTGCGGTAGAAGCCGAGCTCCTGCACCAGCTGATTGATCTCCTCCCGAGTCATGTCGCTTAGGGGGATTCTCTGCACACACAAAGGGGTTGCAGCCCAGTGCCTGTTGGGCACCACCCACCCAAACCCTGCTGTGGCAGCAAGTGTCACCCTGTCCACTAACCTCCAGCTCTTCATATCGGTGGCTGAGGAGCACAAGCTCAGGGTCAGCACCAGGCAGATGCTTCATCTCCAGGTTATGGCTGGATGGTGTGTTAAGGAGCCAACAGTACTGGCCAGGTCCATGCAGCCCTCCCACCCCCCCATCCCATCCCGCTTTCCGTCACATTCCATTCCCTCCCATCCCATCCTCCATTCCATCCCGTCACATCCTCCACTGCATCCCACCCCATTCTGTCCCATTGTATCTCACACCACTGCCCAACCATCCTGTCCTCCACCCCTTATACAATCCCATCCTCCATCCCACCCCTCATTCTGTCCTCCATTGCGTCCTGTCCTGTCCTCCAGCCCGTCCCACTCAGCCTAGTCCTGTTCTATCCTTTACCCCCATCCCATCCCATCCCATCCCGTCCCGTCCCATCCCATCCCACTCCATCCCATGGGAGCGCCCATCCCAGCAGAGGCCCGCTTCGGGCCGCAGCCGCACAGATCGCTGCTCGCCTCGGCCGGCGGGTACTAGAGGGGAATGTCCTGGGTGACGAACGCCTTCACCTGCGGGCACAGCGGGCGGCCCGGCCCGGCTCGGCTCAGCGGTGGGGCGCCTCTGGACCCCATCCCCATCCCCCACCCGGCGGCACCTACCTCCCTCAGGCGGTTCAGCCGTCACCCGCCACAAGTCTGGAGGACGAGACGCTCCCGTCACCGCCGGCGGCGGCCCACGGTGTCCCCGCACCCTCCGCCCAGCCCTGCGCTTACCTCCACCTTCCCCCGGGCCAGGTCCCGCAGCTCAGCCCCTCGGTGCCGGGGGGGTCCCGCGCCGAGCCCCGCCGCCAGCACCGACACCAGCAGCAGCCTCAGCGCCTGCAGCATCCCGCAACGCCACGTCACGGCCTCCGCGCGCACGGGGGGTCCCGCCCCGACGGCCTGGAGCACGCGCACGTCGAGCAGCCGCAGTAGGACACGCTGCACGGGCGGACAGCAGCCGCACACCATGCATGCGCAGCGCGGCTGGCTGGGTGTACACACACCGTAAACACGTGGAAACGCTCCTCATCACCCCCTAAATACGCCCGAACACCTCCTAAACACCCACACTGCACACCCCCACGCCTCCTACACACACACTCCCACACACCACCACCACAAACACACACCACAAACTTGGATGTGCACACTGCACACCACAAACGCGCATCAAAAACTCGATGCACACACAGACTGCACCCCAACACACAGCGTGCAAATACAGTATGCACATGCAGACATTGCAGACACACAGTGTGCAGCGCAAAGGGGTGTGCATGCATGGCTGGCTGTGTATGCACACAGCTGTGCACACTCGTGCCCCTCTGCACACACAGCTGGGAGCACACATGCACAGCTGTATGCACAGCTATGTACAGCTACATGCAGTCCACCCACCAGTGCATGAATGCAACTGCACACACAGCTGCAAACAGGCACAAACACATCAGCACATGCAGTCACAAATGTAGTAGCATGTGCGTGCACCCAAAGCTTTACACACACACACAGCTGCATGCATACACGCATACTGTGGCTGCTTGAGGTTGGAGGCTGTTGGGGTCCAAGCCTCTGCTCAAGCAAGCCCACACAAGGCTGGTTGCCCAAGGTCACTGTCCACTTGGCTGTTGAGTTTCTGCAGGGATGGAGATGGTACAACTTGCCTGGGCAGCTGGTGCCCAGGGCTTGGTCACCTTACAAGAATGCAGACATGCAGAGGGAACCTCCTGTGGTTGTGCCTTTCCTGAAGACAGAAGTGACATTTGCTTTGCTCCAGTCCTCTCCCAGTTGCCACAGTTGATCACAGGTTATTGAAAGTGGCCTTGCAATGACAGGAGCCAGTGCCGTCCATCCCACTAAGGCTCAGGGACCTGTTCTCCAGCAAGATCCTCTTCCACATGGTGCTCCAGCCTTTCCCAGGCTCTGTGGCTCCTGAAGGCTAGTCTTGATAGTATGGAGGTGTCTGGGACCTCTGCCCTCTCCATGCCCTCTGTCACCAAGTCCCCCACCTCCTTTGGGTGCATACAAGTGCATATGCACACCCGAAGCAGCCCCCTGTTGCTCTCACACCCACCAACGCAAACCTGTGCACGTAAGGCACCGTGTGACACGCAAGGACCTGTGGGGCTGCACGGCACCTCCCACAGCTCCAGTTGTGCCGTGGACACAGACACACCCGCCGCAGTGCCCGCGGGTGCACCGGGACACGGCGTCGCAGCAGCGCACACACAGCGAGCGCGCGGGCAGGTGCGCACGAGGGCAGGCATGCACGCGCGAGGCCAGTCGTGCACGCGCCGGCGGTCACGTGGGCAGATGCGCGCTGGGCAGGTTCAGTGTCACTTTTGCGGCTCCTGCGCCTTTAAGGCTCGCGCAGGTGCGCGGAGCTGACATCACGGGGCGCGGCGGGGCCGGGCCCGGGGCCGGTGTCGCCCGCTCGGGCTCCGCGTCCCGATGGAGCCGGCCCGGCGCGGGAGCGCGGACCAGGGCTCGGCCGCCGCCTTGGGGCCCCGGCCCGGCCCCTCGTGGGGTACCTCGCCCGCCGCCGCCCCCCCAGCACGGCCGGTGCCTTTCGGCTCCGGCGGCTCGGCCCCGGCCGCGCCTTTCCTTGGCGGCGGCGGTGGCCCGGGTGCCCGCCGAAGCTCTCGGTCGGACGCCGCCTGCGACCCCTTCCCGTATGGCTGCCCGCGGCCCGGCGGGGTGCAACGCTGCGGTCCTGAGGAGCGGGCCCCGGGCAGGGGCGCGCAGCCCCTGCCGCTGGAGGTCGGCAGGGCGCAGCCCGAGGGGCCCGGCGGACCCCACAACTTCCCGTTGCCGGCCTTGCTGCCCCCCAGCCCTGGCGGCCCCCCGGCCCGGCCCGGCGTGCAGTCCCCCGTAGCGCCCTCCTTCCCCGAGCTCGGACCCCTGGAGCATGCTGTGCCCGGGAAGCTACCGCCCGCCGAGCGGAGGGAGATGCTCCCCAAGGCCGAGTCCAGCGACCACATCTCCGCTTGGGCGGGCTCCTCGCCGCGGGCTGCTGGGCTACCCAAAGCCGTCTCCAGCGAGTTCCTCGCCAGCGGGCGGGTGGGCCTGTCCAAGCCGTCTGCTCTCTCCAAAGCGGAGCCGGAGGACCTCTCCCTCTTCGGGAGGTCCCTCGGCCAGCCAAGTGCTGGTGATTCCTCTGACGCACTCGGCTGCTCGGGAAGGAGCCCGGAGGACAGTTCGTTCCGGTGAGCAGGTGCTGTGGGGGGACAAGCAGCGGGAGCAATGCTGGGCCAAAGCTGCCAGTGCTGTGGAGCAGCAAGTGCAGCCTCCTGTGGGGCTGGAGTCGCCCCTTTCTTCCCACTGTAAATGGTGTTCACATGGAGGAGATTGGGATGAGGAGCTGTGAACACACAGGTTTAGTGGGGGGAAGGATGCTTAGTGCTTACTGTCCGTGCAAGCAGTGTGCATGGGGTGGCATGTCACAGGCTGTGGAGTGGGTATCATCTGCCCCCACTGTCCTGGAGCTCTGGAAACGATGTGGCACTACCTCCCTTGCTGTTGAAACATTCTCACTGTGACTGAGATTTGACCTAGCACTGCTGGAAGAGCCTGCAGGCTGCTAGTACGTGCTGCATAACAGCGCTCGTGTTGCGACTGATGGTGGCTTTGCACTGATGAAGGACACTGATGCAGGGCTCGCAGCTCTGCTGTCATGTGTGGTGCCCTGGCGTTTCAGACTGGCTGAGCTCTTGGGCAGAGTCGGGGGCTGAGACTGGGTTCTTTTCCCCAGGAGCCCCAGAGATGTGTGATTTCTAGGGAGGGGAAGCGGTTTTCCAGGGAGACCCTGTCTTGCAGGCTGCCTGCTGTGCTAGCCTGCCTGTGTCAGTCGGTGGTGATGAAAGCAAAAGGTCTTTTGTGTGGGTTTCTAGAATTTCACAGGGGTCTGGGTTATAGTGGGGCTTGCCTTGCACCAAAATGCAGGTCATGGGGCAATTCAGAGGAAAGGACCCATCTCCTGTATATGCCCTAGCTGAGGTTCACCTGTCGCCATTTCTGCTGTGGGCAGAGAGCTTCCTTGGTGGAGCTGGGGATTGAACTGGGGTAGGGGGGAACAGGGAACACCTCTGAACCCCAGTCTTAGTCTGTTCTTCCTTTGTCCTCCCAAGCATCACAGTGGTTACCTGGAATGTGGGCACAGCTATGCCCCCGAATGATGTGACATCCCTGCTGCACCTCAACACAGGCGAGACTAACGATGTGGATGTGATTGCCATTGGGTAAGAGGCTGAGGTGCAGGGCCCCCTCCCCTGCTGCACCACATCCCTTTCTGGGGAATTACCATAGCCCTGTGGGGTGGAGAATGGAAGAGCTGCAGCCCAGCCCCTCTGGGGCACAGTGAGCAGGGAGAGGTGTGCATTGCAGGCAGCAAAATATCAGAAAAGGTAATGGAGAGTTAGGTCCCAGAAAAATGGAAATGCTAAGAGGAACAGAAACCCTTGAATCCCAGGTAGCCTTGAACCCCCAAAGGGCCTGGAGCTGGCTGTGCTGTACAGAGCTGGGGCCTTGGCAGTGCTGCTTTTGCTATGAGCCCTGGCAGCCCTGAGGTCAGGTCTGCAGAGGCATTCAACTTGCCTGTTGTAGTCCTCTGGGAGTGTTTTCTTCATCTCATCTTTTGCCCATGGTATGCAGGCCTCAAGGGCACAAATTTGCCATTCTCTCATAGATGGATTGGCTCTGTTCCCCTTGCAACACTTAACTTTGGGCAAGGTAGTGACATGTTAGTGTGGCGAGGTTTTATTGGCATGGCTGGCGAGGCCAGAGTCTAAGGGCACACTGGTCCCTCAAGGTTTGCTGTGCTATGTGGATTCCTGCTAAGACCAGAGACATGCTGCCTTTGCACAGGGAGTGAGACACTGCTTCTGCCTGTGTGTGTGAGGTGGAAGAGCTGCATTTGCCTCAAGGAGGCTCCCAGGGACTCCCTGATTCTCCATGCTCCAGGAAGGGGCAGTGTAAGGCTGAGTCTGCCAGAGCTATGATGCTGTGTTGGAGCTGGTCTCCTGGTCCCTTTGGCCTTGCAGGCCAGCAGTTTGGAGCTGTGGAGGTAGATTGAAGCATGAATGGATGGGGTAGGGGTGTAGCTGACAGCAAGAGACATGCTGGGACAGTGTCCTGCTGCTCCCTACCCCCAGGCTGTTTCTCCCTGGCTGTGTCCTTCCTCTGACCCATGTCTCTGTGCTCTGAGCACTTGGTATTTCTGGGCAAAGACATTTCCTGATTCTGCCATTCACTGGGAACATTCTCCTTCCCCCTCTTCATTAATTGCTGAGCCAGGAGGATGCTAATTAACTTTCTGTTTGCTGCTGCTCTGAGCTTGGTGGCTAGGATGCATCTGGATACCCTGTGCTGAAGTACTGGTGAGACTTGGCTTCTCTGTAAAGACCAATATAGCTGAAATGTCCCATAAGTCCCTCTTACACCTAGAGATAAGCTTTAGACTGCTGCCCAGCTCTGTGCAGCTGAACTCCTCCTGCTTTAGAAAGGGCCAAGGCCTCTCATGGATTCAGGGCCACTTATACCTTCTGCTAACACATGGCCCAGCGTTGCTGGAGCAAGGATATGGCTGGCTTGTGCTCTAAACCCAGGATCCTCCTTGAACTGCCCTTCCTGCCCTGGTCCTGCTCCACACACTATGCTTTGGCATCTCTCCTAAGGAGCTCCTGCTAGCTTGGACATAAATGCTTTCCTGGTGTGGCTATGGGACCTGTCCCTTTCCTCCCAGGCTGCAGGAGGTGAATTCTAAGATAAACAAGCGCCTGAAGGATGCCCTCTTCACAGATCAGTGGAGTGAGCTCTTCATGGATGTGCTGAGCCCCTTCCACTTTGTCCTGGTAAGGAGTTCCCAAAGGGGCTGGGCAGCTGGTGTTCCCTCCCTGCCTGTTGGGCAGGTAGGCCACAGACAGGGAGAGTTGAACTGCAGGGATGGAGGGAGGAGTTGCAGTGGGAAAGCACAAACTGGTGGCAGGACAGCCTGCAGCTATCCAAGCAGCATGTGGGGGCTAACCTGAGGGCTAGAGATGTACCTCACCAGCGTGCTGTCTAGCTTTTGCCAACCTGCTCCCTTTCCTGCACCTTGAGCTTCCCCTGTGGGGCTTTGGAGACACTTGCTGCCTGCTCCATCGCACCAAGGCAAGGAAGTGTATGTGGGAACAAGCCTTTGCTTCTGGCATCAGCCTGCAGATCCCAGGGCAGGTTCAACTCCCCAGGGTGCTTGCCCCAGAGCATATGCAGCCTTGGTGCTGCTGGGCTTATCTCAGCTGTCAGTATGGAACAGGTTGTCAAGAGAAGCTGTGGCTGCCCCATCCCTGGCAGTGTTCAAGGCCAAGTTAGATCGGTCTTCGAGCAACATGCTCTAGTGGAAGGTGTCCCTCACCATGGCAGGGGATTGGAACTCTAGGAGCTTTAAGGTCCCTTCAGCCCAAACCATTACATGATTCTATTCAGGAGGGTGTTAGTAAACTCTGAACAAAATGTGCTATTAGTTATCTGCAAGACAGGGAGCATGCAAAGGATGGAGGTGCTTCTCCTATGGCCTGGAGGTGGGGGAAGCCGTCCCTGCCCCTACAGGCTCTGCTGTGGCTACCCTCCTGCTTCAGCCTCTGCCCCCATTCCAGGTCAGCACTGTTCGGATGCAAGGTGTGATCCTACTGGTATTTGCCAAGTACTACCACCTCCCCTTCCTGCAGGACATCCAGACAGACTGCACGAGGACAGGGCTGGGAGGCTACTGGGTGAGTGTAGCGCTAGGGGAGGTGGTGAGGGGCTGGCTTCCCAAGGAGTCACAGGATCCTCTTGGTGCAGGGCAACAAGGGTGGGGTGAGTGTTCGTCTCTCCATCTTCGGCCACATGGTCTGCTTCCTGAACTGCCACCTGCCAGCACATCTGGAGAAGGCAGAGCAGCGCAAGGAGGACTTTGCCACCATACTGCACATGCAACAGTTCGAGGGGCGTGTGGCCAGCGGCATCCTGGACCATGAGTGCGTACCCCACCACTTTGCTCCCCAGTCTGGGCAATAATGCCAGCCCCTGTCTTAGACTCCCTCAATTCCAGCACAGCTTGGAGATAGGGTTTTGCCTGCAGGGCTGTAAAACTGCCCCATGGCCCAGCAGCAGCCCAGTATGTTGGGGCAGGTGTTAAGAGAGATCCTTGGTCTCCCCTGGAGCACGTCCAGGCATGAAGCAGCTCCCTGCCATACTGGCACTGTTGGAGTTTGGAAGTGGTGAGTGGAGTGCCTGGCTCTGACCCAGTGTCTTGGCTATGCATTCCAACTCGGTAGGTGATTTGCTGTGGAAATTTCCACCATCAATGCTCAGGGAAGGTGGGCCTGTTAGTTGATGGTTCTTGGTCCTACCTGAATAACCCTGACAGGCCTGGCTGCTGGCCAAGCTGTCAGCCAACTGCTGACCTGTACTGGTGCTCTTGGGAGCACCTGTGCCACAGGCTGAGGCTGCCCACAGGATATTTCTCTCCTGCCAGCATCGATAAGTCTCGGCCCTTCCAGCCTGTTGCACTCCTCCTACCCACAGCCTCGTGTTCTGGTTTGGGGACCTCAACTTCCGCATCGAGAGCCTTGACATCCGCTTTGTGAAGTATGCCATTGACAGCAACATCCTGAGCCAGCTATGGGAGAAGGATCAGGTGAGAAGGATGGGCACACTGCAGAGCCTCAGCCAGGCCCCAGGTGGCAGTTGGCTCTTGTCCCACAGCTGTATAGGCAGTTTTGGCAGGATGTCCCCTTACATGGGACACAAAAGGCCCTGGTTCTGTGTGGAAAGGGCAACACAGTCCCAAGATGGTCTTTATGGGAGCTGGGCACATGTTTCTTTTAGCAGTATGTTAGGAAGAGCTGGGGGACTACAGACTTGCTGCTTGCATGGCATGGACAAACCCTGAGAACTGTGTGTGGGGCTGGCAGCAGTGGGGCAGGGATGACTGTGCTAGGGGTGGAGAAGTATTGCGGGGCTTGCAGAGGGGGGTCTGGCCATAGGGGCTGGCGTGCTCCTGTTTTCTTTCCCACAGCTGAATATTGCCAAAAGCACCTGGCCTGTCCTCAGTGGTTTTCAGGAGGGCCCCCTGAACTTCCCACCCACTTTCAAGTTTGATGTAGGCACCAACAAATATGACAGCAGGTAGGACTGCAAAGCTCAGGTATGTGCTGGGCCTGGGAGCAGGTGGCACGGCTGATGGATGCAGGTGGGGCATGGATGCCAGCCAGGGCACGTGCTGGTGGGGCAGGGGCTGATGCTGGTGCAGATAGATGGGGGGATGGGGGTAGGCTGGGGCTGCCAAGCTGGGACACAACTGTTGTGCTGGTGCCAGTGCAGGTCTGTCCCTGCAGCTGCACTGAGCTGTGTGCCAAGATGAGCTGCGTCCCCTGCCTGTGCGTGTGGTAGTACCGGGGGAGGCAGCTTGGGGTGGAGCCCACTGGCCCCTGCCAGGCAAGAGATGCCCCTCTGTGCCCTGCAGTGCCAAGAAGCGGAAACCTGCCTGGACTGACCGCATCCTCTGGAAGATCAAGTCTCCCAGTGTTGGGCTTGGCATGGGTGGGCACCGGCCCAGACGGAGTGTCCTCTCAGTGAGCCAGCTCTGCTACTGCAGCCACATGGAGTACACAGTCAGCGACCACAAGCCAGTAGCTGCCATCTTTGCAGTGCAGGTGAGCACCATCCAGGGCCAGTGGGCACACAGTCAGGGGCTTCAGGGGTGAGACATGCAGCTTGTGTGTGCAGCTTATGATGGGGTGTGTGGGGCTTACTTTAGTAAGCTGTCACCATGGCTGGGGGCTGCTAGACAGGTGCCGTGGGCAGCAGGGGCAGCTCTTTGGCATGCCCTTCCTTACTGTGTATCATAGAAACACACAGTAGTTCGGGTTGGAAAGGACCTTAAAATCATCTAGTTCCAGCCCCCCTGCCATGGGCAGGGACACCTCACACTAAACCATGGCACCCAAGGCTCTGTCCAGCCTGGCCTTGAGCACTACCAAGGATGGAGCATTTACTACTTTGGGCAACCTGTGCTAGTGCCTCACCACCCTCACAGTAAAGAACTTCTTTCTTACATCCAACCTGAACTTCCCCTGTCTAAGTTTGAACCTGTTACCTCTTGTCCTGTCACTGCAGTCCCTAATGAAGAGTCCCTCTCCAGCATCCTTGTAGGCCCCTTTCAGATACTGGAAGGCTGCTATGAGGTCTCCACGCAGCCTTCTCTTCTCCAGGCTGAACAGCCCCAACTTTCTCAGCCAGGCTCCATACGGGAGGTGCTCCAGCCCCTGATCATCCTCGTGGCCTCCTCTGGACTTGCTCCAACAGCTCCATGTCCTTCTTGTGTTGAGGACACCAGAACTGCACACAGTGCTGCACATGGGGTCTCATGAGAACAGAGTAGAGGGGCAGGATCACCTCCTTCGGTCATGCTCCTTTTGATGCAGCCCAGGACACAGTTGGTTCCTGGGCTGCAAGTGCACACTGAAGCCGGCTCATGTTCAGTTTCTCATTGACCAACACCCCCAAGTCCTCCTTATCCACAGGGCTGCTCTGAATCTTTTTCCTGCCCAACCTGTAGCTGTGCCTGGGATTGCCCCAACCCAGGTGTAGGACCTTGCACTTGGCTTGTTGAACTTCATGAGGTTGGCATTGGCCACCTCTCAAGTGTGTCGAGGTCCCTCTGGGTGGCATTCCTTCCCTCCAGTCTATCAACCAAACCACATAACTTAGTGTCATTGGCAAACTTGCTGAGGGTGCATCAATCCCACTGTCCATGGCAGCGACAAAGATGTTGAACAAGACCGGTCCCGACACCGATCCCTGAGGGACACCACTCATTACCCATCTCCAGCCGGACACTGAGCCATTGACCACAACTCTTAGTGTGCGGCCATCCAGCCAGTTCTTTATCCACCCAGTGGTCCATCCATCAAATTGATGTCTCTCCAATTTAGAGACAAGGATGTTGTGTGGGACAGTGTCGAACGCTTTGCACAAGTCCAGGTAGATGCCATCAACTGCTCTACCCCTGTCCATCAGTTCTGTAGCCCCATCATAGAAGGCCACCAAATTGGTCAGGCAGGATTTTCCCTTAGTGAAGCCATGCTGGCTGTCACCAGCCATCTCATTGTTTTTCATGTGCCTTAGCATGCCTTCCAGGAGAATCTGCTCCAAAGTTTTGCCAGGCACAGAGGTGTACATCTCTCTTGCAGTTTGCTTCCAAGACAGACAAGCCCCCGGTTGAGATTTATGTGGCTGATGAATGGAGCAGGCCTGAGCAAGCAGTTGTCAGGTACAAGATGGCTGCTGGCTTCCACCGGAGCTCGTGGGACTGGATAGGACTCTACCGGGTAGGGGCTTGGGTGCTGCTGGGGCTGAAGGGAGTGGGGTGCACTGCACAGCACTGTGGGGTTCCTTCTGAGCTACCCCCAAATGGTGGGCACTGGTGCATGGCATGGGCCTGTGCTCTAAGCTTTCCTTTCCCTGGGGAAGCCCTGGCAATTATCCAGGATTTGGATAGCAGCAGGATTTGGCTCTGCTTCAGGAGGCTCAGATCCAGTAGTTCCCTCTTTCTCCTGCCTGGTGGGCCCCACAGGGTCAAAAGCCTGGCACTCCTTGGAGGCTGGGGACCAGGGCACTGTTGAGTGGGTGCAAGGCAGCTCTTGGTTTTGCTCTGAGAGGAGAGGGGGCTGAGAGCGAGGCAAGCTAAGGCAGGGTGGGAGGTGATGGTGCTGAGTAAGGCTTATGTTCCTGTGCACCAGTGTTCTCCCATGTACATGCACACAGGTGGGCTTTCGACACCCTAAGGATTACGTGTCCTATGTCTGGGCTAGGAGCGATGATGGTGAGCGCTGCTTGGAGAAGCAACCATATGCACAGGTGAGCTGGGCCAACCCTCCTGTCCTGCTGGGCACATGTCCCATCATGGGGGGATGGGGACCTCTTTATGCTCCTGATGGTAGAAGGGGGCACCTCCTTACTACTCTGTGCTGAGCCTTAGGCAGGTCTACTCTCCTGAAGTAAGGGATATTGGCTCTGGGCTGGGGCTGGAGGTGGGAGGGGCCATCCCTGTGCCAAGCCTTGGTGCCCATCAGCTCTCTCTGGGCTACAGGTGATGTTCTCAGAGGAGGCCCTGCCCAAGGGGAAGGGCGAGTACATCCTTGGATACTACAGCAACACCTCCAGCAGCATTGCTGGTGTGACTGAGCCCTTCCAGGTCAGCATGGCCAAAAGGCAAGGGTGAGGGGTGGAGGGAGGCAGGGGGTGATGTGCATAAGGTGCTTGTCTGGAGGGGGACAGTGGCTTTGGTGCCCCAGATCAGCCAGCAGCGCTGATGCAGGGGTGCAGATCTCCCTGCCCAGGTCAGAGGAGGGCAGCAGCCCCACAGACAGCTCAGGCAGCAGCTCAGAAGAGGAGGATGACAGCACACTTGTCCTGCTGGCCCCCAAGTCCCGTAGCCCCAGCCCAGGCAAGATGAAACGGCACCGGAGCCGAAGCCCCAGCCTAGCCAAGTTCCAGGGCCTCATCCTGCGGCCATCAAGCCGGGACAGGGGTACAAGCCGCAGCCCCTCACCCCAGAGCCGCCGTGGCATCCCTGGGGACATCCCCACCATCCACGTGCCCCAGGAGGAGCTGGGGTGCCGTGGAGTGAAAGCCAAGGAGTCAGGGCGAACAGCCAGCAGCCAGGAGGGCAGCTCTTTCTACCAGACTGTGCGGGAGCAAGGTGGCCCCTGGCATGTCTCTGCTGACAGCCCCTTGGCCAGGGCTGACCCGAGGAACCTGGGCCTGCTGCCTGCACTCCGCCTTGAGATGATCGACCAAGCTCTGGGACGGCGGAGGGAGAGCACAGACCAGAGCTACCCTAGCCAGAGGATGAGTCCCACCAGCCCCCCTGGCTGCAGGACCTCCCCAAAGGAGGGGAGCAGCCCCCAGGAGCTGGACAGCCATAGCTGTGCCCTGGGCCACTGATACAGTGACCCTTGTCTCCTTCCTCCCTGTAGTGTGCTTGCTGTGTACTTCCCTCTGCCACTTTCCTGCCGAGACATCCCTCTTCCCCCTTATTTATTGCAGTGATTTCTCACTACTGCAACAGAGGCCTCCCTGTGGTCCTTCCAGCCTGAGCTGCTGCCCTGGGCCTGGTAGAGCTGGGATATGGCACAGGGGAAGGCAAGGCTAGTCTAGTATGGTGGGGGGAAGAGTCCACTTGAGATTCAAAGTGCAAGACCCTTTGGTCCTATGGGAGGAGTGCTGGCTTCACACATGAGGTGGGACAGGAGCACAGGGCTCTGGTAGCAATGGTGATGGGCATAGAGCAAGGACTGCCCCAGGGTACCCCTTAGATCAAAGCTTGCTCCTTCCCTGCTGCTACCACTGTGCCTCAGCCTGGACTTCGTGCAAGCGACAAAATAAACCATCCTGCCCACTCTTGCTGCACTGTGCTTACTACAGAGGTGGCAGGATCAGCCCCTCCTGTGGAGACCACAGCATGTGCAGGGAGGGCAGCAGGCTTGGCCCTGGCACCACACTCAGACCATCCTGTATTCATCTTCTGCACACAGGGACTGAACCCCTCCTTAGAGCCAGCCCAGCTCACCAGTGCCCATCCCACCCTGGCTGTGGAAGGGGGTTGGATCACACCACAGTGCTCAGCCGCCCCAGCTGAAGAGGCACAAACCCAGGTTGGGGGCAGTGCTGTCCCCCATGCCTGGGAGGACCTGTGTGCCCCAGAGAACAACAGGGACTAAAGAGGGTGGGGTTCCACTTTCCCAAGCCCTCCTCTTTCTTTCCACCTGCTTTGATGCTCATGGATGGCAGCCACTGCTGCATACACAACCCCCTCATCCTAAGAGTCTTCTCAGTCCATCTGCTTGCACCTGCTCCAGCTGTGGCATCCCCCAGCTCCATGCAGTCACCCCAGCAGTTGCACCTTGTGACATCCTCTGTCTCAGGAACCAGAAATTGAGTAGCTTCACCTCATGGCTGCAGCACAGGACATTTTCCTCCCCACAGGAAGCAGTACTCAGGCATCATCAGGGCATGGTGTGAAACTGAGCACAACGCTTCTGCTTCAAGGTCATCCAAAGGCATTGCTCATAGAGAGTGACACCACTGTGCTGTGTCTTCCAGTCTGGATGCTTGGCCCTGGAGTTCACATGCAAAGAATCCTAGCGTCTCAGGGTCTTTTTGAGACAACATACAGGTACTAGCACAGCCCGGGCTGCTGCAATACTGGTGCTGAAGAAGCCTCAGTGTAACACTGCCACTCACATCCATTCCTTTCCACTCCAGCCTTACTCATGGCACAGTAGAGGACAGCGCTTGCAATACCAGCTTCACACCAAGCTGGCATCCAGCCCTGCCAGGACACCCTGCTGCCCCCACAGGCTTGTTTGTGTGACCCTTCACACTTGTGAACCTTTATGGAGGCTGCAGTCAGTGGGTGGCTCTAGAACAAAGCAGTCTGTGGTAATGTGGTTGGCCAGGAAAGCCAGCTCCATGTCACTGAGGTCGCTCATCCTGTGCAGGAACCATGCCAACCTGTGGGCACAGCAGGGCAGCAGTCAGCCGCTGCTGGCCAGGTTGGATAGCCCACCTTGTCTGACCCCAGAGTATCTGCACATAGTGCCCTGTGATGGTGGGAAGAGCCTTTTCCTCCTGGACACACACCTGTGAATGCAGTTGCAGTGGAAGAGCATCAGGTTTCCATGTTGTGCAGCTGGTACTTCACTTCGCTGGGTACAATCTAGTGCTCACACTTATCCAAGTGCTTGTAGCTCTTGCACACCCTGCCCAGGCCTGAGGACAGCAGGGCAGTGAGGGGCACCCCCAGCACACAACCAACATGTGCTGAGACCTTGGGACACCCCAGCTGTGATTCATGCTCTACCCCCAGCGCCCATTCACCCTGCTGCTGTCTGCACCCTGCCACAACAGTCATCGGGGGGCTCTGCACCACTCCACAGCTGGGCTGGATTGGATGCTGCCATCCTGAGGGCAGGCAGGGTGTGCTGAGCCCCTAGACCCTTGCAGTGCTCCTCCAGGCATTCACCTTCCTCCAGCAAGGTCCTGCTGCAACATGGTCATTGCTGTTGGGGTCGTAGCCTCCAGCCCCCACTGTGCCTGCTCGTGGCCGTATCCACCAGCCTTGTCCCTGGTGGATACGGGGGACAAGGTACGTGGTCCCTGTGGCTGCTGGGCTGTAGCAGGTCTCTGTGTCTGGTAGAGCTGAGGGTCTTGACTCAGAGGCTCTTGTGCCCTACTCTTGAGAACTCCCCTCCCTTGCCTGGGGGCTACACAGCAGGGCTGCCAGTCGCCTCTGGGGGCAGGCTGTAGTTCTGACACTGCTGCACCACCCTGGCCAGGGTACTACACCATAACGCTCACACCTGGGAACATCACATGCCATAAGGCCCTGTACACCCACTCTGCTGCAGCCAAGTCGGTGGCGGCAGGGGAGGGCATGCCCAGGGCTGCTGCAGCAGATGCTCAGCCATGGGGCTACAACACCAGAGCACTCACCCTCCCCACCAGTGCCACTAGACGCACTCCTTGCACTCCAACACGAAGCACGGCACCTCCAGCAGGTTGAAAAATGTGACTCCGATGATGTTGGAGATGGTGTCGTTGAGGTCCAGCAGGCACTGCCGGAATCTGCAGGGCACACCGAGGCGGTGAGCAGCTCGGCGGCCCCGGGGGGTGTGTGACCCCCCGGACCCGGCCTTCGGAGCACCTGGTGTGAAATACGCACTCCTCTAAACAAGATAAACATCACATTCACAGTGGGATATGGTATGCAGGCGGTAGTTGTGGATGCCGTAGCTGAACTGTAGCGCCGTGATCTGCACCGAGCACTGATCGTGCTCACGACAGCACCGGTCGGGGCCGCGGAAGAGACCTACGGGCAGCGTCGGTGAGGACAGCTCCGACGGGAGGATGGGGTGCGCCTGACCGCTGCTCCCTCCTCGCCCTCCCCACTCAGTAGCCAGCTCGCGGGCATTCCCCACCAAGCCACCGGCCCCGCACCACAGCATTTCCGGAAAGGTTCAGCCCCGTCGGCGGCGGCGCGGAGGCTCTGCGGCGGCGCGGGTTAGGCACAGGACGCGCGGCGCCGCCCCAGCGCCGCCGGGTCCCTCCTCTGTGCGGCACCGGGGGCGGCGGGCGGGCGGCGCTGCAGGCGGGGGTCGCGGCGGACCCAGCAGGCGCGGGGACGGCCCCGCCCAGCCCAGGCGCTCTCCACCAGCGCTGCCGGGCCGGGGGCCCAGCGGCTCAGGAAGGGCGCGTACCGCGCGCCACCGCGCAGGCTAGCTCCGTGCGGGCGCGCAGCACCCCGTACACCGCCCCCCCCTTTAACCGTGCGCCAGCCGGCCGGTGGGCACAAAGCTGATTGGTCCACGCCGGCCCCGCCCCCCCCCGTGGGAGGTGAGCAGGAGGAGCGGGATGCAGGAGGAACCCCCCGCCCTGCGCAACACGGTTCCGGACACCCCCGGGTCAGTTTTGTGGGGTAGAGCTCCCGGGAGGGTGCTGGGGCAGCGGTGTGCGTGTGGGTGTATGCGAGTACCTTTACCTAGGCACTGCCAAGTCCACCACTAAACCATGTCACTGTGGACCTCAGCAGCACATTTTTGAACGCTTCCAGGAGCAGTGACTCCAGCCCTGCCCTGGGCATCCTGGTCCAGTGCCTGAGCATCCTTTGGGGAAGGAATTGTTCCCAATATCCAGTCTAAACCTCCCCTGGTGCAGCTTGAGGCCATTTCCTCTTATCACTTGTTTCTTGGGAGAAGGGACCAGTCACTTCCTGGCTTTATCCTCCTTTCAGGTTGTTGCAGAGAGTGATAAGGTTCCCCTGAGCCTTCTCTTCTCCAGGCTAAACCCCCCAGGTCCCTCAGCTGTTCCTCTTCACACTTGTGCTCCAGGCCCTGCGCCAGCTCCGTTGCCCTTTTCTGGACCCACTCCAGCACCTCAATGTCATGTAATGAGGGGCCCAGAAGAGATCTCTCTCTTTGCACCCTCCCTGCAGGCATTTCTATATGTTAATAGCTTCTCTGTAAACTTCCTTTGCTCCAGGCTTAACAGACCCAGCTCTCACAGCCTCTTTTGCTACTCCAGTCCCTTTCCACCACCATGGCCCTTTGCTGGACACACAAGTCTGAGCCTTCCCTGGGTGATCTGGCATAGACTGGAGAGGACACAGCAACCCACCGTTCCCTTTTAACCTCCCAGAGGTTGGTAATGCTTGTCCTGCTGCAGCTGGGGCCACTGGTGGCCTCTGCTGTGAGGATACATCCCTGGATCCTGCTCAGCCAGTGCCCAGCAGGATCCCAAGATCCATCCCTGCAGATCTGCTTTCTAGCTGGTGGCCCAGACTATGCTGGTACATTTCCCATCTGGGAACTGTGATCTCCTGGAAATACCTTAGGAGTGTGGCTGGGCTGCAGGGCAGTGCTCACACACATGCACAGCCACTCCCCCCCGCCTTGTGCCCCAGGGGAGGGTTGATCAGGGTGGCCAGTGGGTTCAGGAATCCCCATTCCACTGCATTTCTGCTGCATTCCTTAGGGATTTTTGCTCTGCCTCAGAGAAGTGATGCACTGAGGTCCAGCTTCATCTCTGCCAACAGGGAGCTGATAAAGGGCTGGAAAGAGAAGGATGAGACAGAAAGAGCCATCATGATTCCTCCAGTGCAGCTCTTGCTTCTGGAGCCAGCCTGTGTTTTAAGTACTTGACCGGGGTTATGCTCTGATGGGACCGCTTGCAGAGCTCCATGCTCCCATGAGTGCTGCAGGGCAGCCAGGGGCTGGCAGCCAGGGTTTGGCAGCAGAGCCTTCTCTCACTTTATCAGGATTTCCCTAACAGCATGGACAGAGGCCAATGCCACAGACAAGTGCAAAGTCCACTGCAACAGTGATACATCTGCTGTGTGCCACCCATGACATGGCCTGAGGTGTTGCAAAGGCCTCCCAGATGCTGTGTCACCTGGTGGGCCACCTCTAAGCTCACATGTCCCCTGTCCCATGGAAGGACCTTTCCACCCTGGAGGCTGTGTTCACCAAGCGGGATGTGGTTGGCATGCTGGTGCTGGGGTGGGCTCTGCAAGGGGATGCCCTGTGCCAGTGAAACCAGCTTTCATCCACCCCACCAGGGACCACAGAGCTCTTCTGCTGAGGGCTCTGCCATCCTGCACTGTGCTCCTGTCCGCTGCACCCCCAGTGTGCCCCAGGGCTGCCTGATGCCTGGGTTGTGCTTGCAGTCCTGCAGTGGCCCCACGGGGATAGCGCTACACTGGCAGGACCCTGAAGCCTTGGCTGCCAAGTGTGTGAGTGTGTCAGGGACCCAGGACCCAGTTTGGGTTTGTCTGAAACATAAATGGAAGATAAGGCAGGATGCCCAGGGTTCCAGTCTTTATCCCCCAAGCAGGTGGGGAGGGATGTGGCTAGCCCCACGCCACAGGGCACCCCAGTGTCTAAGCAGGCAACTGCTGCCCTGCTACTGACTGCTGGGGTGAGGCTGGGGTCTGGCCAGCAGGTGCAGGTCCGAGCCCTGTGCAGGCCTGCACCAGCTCCACTGGCAAGACCCAAAGTCACAGGCAAGGTCAGCACTGGGCTGAGAGCCCAAGGAGTTGAGACAGCTCCTGGGGCACCACTGAGTAGGGGAGTGCTGGCAGCCCCAGTCCTGTGCGGTGAGGCTGGCAGGCAGGTCCTGGGCTGCGTTGGCAAGTGTGCAGGGATGGGCTGGTGAAGTGATTCACACACTCTGCTCTGCATGCCATGTCCCATTTGGGGGTCTCCCATACAAGAAAGACATCCCATACTGTAGCAAGACTGGTGAAGGCTACTGAGCTGGTCTGGGCTGCGGCTGGGCTTCTTCGGGCTGGAGGAGGGGCAGGAGAAGTGTGAGCTTATCTGCCTTGAACTTTGGGTCATGGCAGGGTTCATTCCTTCCTTTTGCACTTCCAGGCCAGCATGGGCATTTGGGTGATGCTTTTTGTGGGGATGTCCTGCAGGGAGGGGCTGGATGTCCTGACTGTGGGTGACTGCTAGTCCTGGGGCCTTGTCCATGTCTCCTGTGGACACACAAATGTGTGAGGGTGTACCCTGCGTCCTGCCAACTGCATCCTGCCCCAGTGGGTGTGAGGCACAGCTCTCCCCTCTCTGGAGAAGGGGCTGTTACCCTGTCTGGGACAGTCCCTGAGAAGCCCAAGCTTCTTGCAGTACAAGCAGGGAGGGGAGCTGGCTCTGGAGAGCCCTGGATGACCCCAGCTAGGTCCTGCATGTGAACATGTTAACACATAAACATGTAAACGTATAACTGGCTCAAAAACTGCCGTGGGACACTGCCCTTCATGTGGGATACCCATGGTGGTATCGCATAAGCAATTCCTGTAGTACTGCATAAAAGTCTTTCTGGTTTCCACTGCCCTGAGCTGGAACTTGCAGCTTTGTGGACATAAAAAGGAGGATAACCACAGGGTATTCTGGACACAGAAGGCAGAGCAGAGAAACAACTTTACACAACCAAATCTTTTGCAAAGGCTGGAAGCCAAAACAAGAGCTGGAGCAAGCAAAGGGATGGTACAGTTACTTCGCATCTGAGCTGAGGTTATAAATGCAACCAGCTTTCAAACCCATGGGAGACTCGAGGGCTTGTGTGAACTGTGCCATGCACTCACAAATCCCTCCATCCCCTTCTGGGACATGGTGGAATGACATTCCCCAGCCAGCAGTGGACATATCTTCCACCAATGTGCTAACACATCTGCCATGCACCTCTGCCTAGGAGAACCTGGGTTGAGTCCTGGCCCCATGTCACATCTTTGTCACACCTGGATCCCCTCCTTCGTGGGGCACAAGACCCCACACGTGGGCCATCCTGTCAGGCTTCTTCTTAAGCACAAAGCAGCCAGGAGTGCCTTCAGTGCGTCTGACCTGGCCTGCTGTATTGGAGTTCCTCGCTGACAGAAGCAGAGCTCAGTCTTTCCATCAGCTGGTAGCACTGGGATGTGGTGGGAGTCAGGCTCTTCTGCTGCTTTTGTGGCATCTATCTGCTTCCTGGCTGCCACCTGGGACTAGAGACTAGGGTGATGGACTTGGCTTGTCCCTGCCCTGCAGCCCTGGTTCCATTTCAGGCTAGGATTACACTAGTGTCCATAGGTGCTCAACCCACTTTGCCTAAAGACAGGCATACTCTACCTGCACCACCAGGCCCATGTGCTTTCTAGAAAGCACAGTCTCCTTTCTTTTGGTGTCCAAGGTAAACTGTGTACTGGTATTTTCATCTCTTTGGAAATGAGATGAAGGGGCCAAAGCAGATTGACAAGAGAAAAAATTCCTGTATGCTTCAGGTTTGCTTAGCATTGTGTATATTGGATCTGACTGTGAGCTTCTGCAGCTGATGGGGAGTTTTAGGTGCCTGCAGTGGGAAGTGTTGTATTGTGCTAGATGTATAATAATACATCTAGCAGAAAAAGGCTAAAAACGTTACAGCACGTATGTCTGCATTACTCCTAGTGTGAGGATGGAAGGCAAGGACCCATAGGTAGAGTACAAGTTGGATCGTTTATTACAAGGATTACACGATATTTATACGCTTCCAAGCAATTAGCCAAGCACATCTGTCTCTGCCTTGCAGTTACATTTACAACTTCGGGCAAAAGGTCTATCTGATTTTTCTTATCAACATCCTCTATCCAGTTCCAACATCCTTATTCCTTGCCAGTTCCAACATCTTCCAAGTACCAGTCAGGGATGGGTCACTCTTAATTGCCTGCTGTAGTTCCTCCTTCCCATGGTCTCTGACAATTGCAATGCATTCCAACCCCTCCAGTTACCCCTTCTTATTTTATCAGCGCAGTAGAGACATGTCTCTCAAAAGCTTGGGATAACATTCGCTGCATACATTGTAACAAACAAGGTACAACACATATGATGGCAAAGAGGGCAAAGAAGAAGATCAATTGTCCTTTAACTTTATAGCATTTAAAGTCCTTTGACTTTGTAGCCACCCAGTTACACCCCCTGCATCATCTTCCCTTAACTTCTTCATACTGTCTTTCAACTTGCGGAGACTTTCATGTATGGATTCTGAATGGTCTGGCTGCGTGGAGACCTCAGAGCAGCCTTCCAGTATCTGAAGGGGGCCTATAGGGATGCTGGGGAGGGACTCTTTATTGGGGACTGTAATGACAGGACAAGGGGTAACGAGTTAAAACTTAAACAGGGGAAGTTTAGATTGGATATAAGGAGGAAATTCTTTCCTGTTAGGGTGGTGAGGCACTGGAGTAGGTTGCCCAGGGAGGTTGTGAATGCTCCATCCCTGGCAGTGTTCAAGACCAGGTTGGACGAGGCCTTGGGTGATATGATTTAGTGTAAGGTGTCCCTGCCCATGGCAGGAGGGCTGGAACTAGATGATCTTAAGGTCCTTTCCAACCCTAACTATTCTATGATTCTATGATTCATGCAACACATTCCTTCCAAAATTTCACACCCATGCCCATGTGCTAAGAGGAGAAAATTGATTGCTGCCCTATTTTGCAGTCGCATGCCTAATAGAGTCGACATCAGTGAGCAAAGCAGAGAGAGCAGGTGCTGTAGCATTAGTTTGTTTAGGAAGCCAACATCCTAACTTATTCAATGTTGCTAAAGCTTGAGCACTAGCTACTCCAGCAGCTGAAAATGAAGTAGCTGTTTTTTCACCCGGGTTCCAAAAATTTACTTTGTCATCCCAACTCAGCTGAAAAGCGTGCATGGACCTTCGAGAACACAATCCTCATTTATTTATTATCATAGTGTTATTAGGGATAAACATACCTAAGGTCCCTACTGCACATGGGCCATTCTTTATATGGGATAGCACCCTTTGCCAGGCCTGATCTTGTGGCAACTGAGGCATGGACTCTGTTTCTGGCTACAAACAAAATCCCTTGTTGAGTGAGCTTACAGGATTTTATAGTATTCTGCTTAGCGGTTAGTAGCGGTTAGTTCTTTTGGTACTTTTCCATCACAAAACAATTTTATTGATCACGCACTTTTTCAGCCAACCACATTACTGTCCACACACCTTTGCTTGAATAATTATTTCTAAAATAGTTCTTTGCTATCACTACTCGTTACAATCTCACTTCCACTTCCCCTTGACTACACATTCTTTGTCTTGTCTTAAGCATCCTCCTGTTTCCAAATTTACAGTCCTCAGAAATTATCTTGATGCTCTTTCTTCGGTTCCACCCAATGTTCTTTCTCCAGTTCTTCCCGACTTGTCCCATTCACTTCTTCCAAGGTTTGTGGCTGATAAGAGTCCAGATGTCTGGTCTCTCGTCCAGGTCTGCTAGCGCAGCTTCTTGTGCAGCATTCCCCCCATCTCCCCCTTCTTTATAAACTAACAAAACATTGTTAATAGACTTAGCAATCAAACAATTTATACAAGCAATTAAACAAGGAACTGTGATTAAAATATATAAAAAGATTTTTACACAGGCTGCTGTGATTTTTGTGAAATATGAGCTCACTCCTCTAAACAAGATAGCAAGGTTTTATTGAGGGACAAAGTCAATAAAGCAAAAGCAACAGCGCTGGGCACATGACCGTAGCCAGAGGCGCAAGTGATTAGCATTTGTTACAGGTTTATATACTTTCACTATTACATTAGTTACATACATATTCATAATTCCCACGTATGGGCGGGGGATATTATAACTAGCCTCAAGAATTTATTATCATAAGTCTCCTCCTCTTGGTGTCTGCACACTGCTCTGTGGTGATTGTGGGCAGGGGTCTTGAGGATGAGGTAAACAGTCTTCCTCTTGTGAGTAGGGGTCTTCAAGATGAAGTAAGCAGTCTTCCTCACGGTGTACTTTTCACCTCTGGCACAGTTGGACCCCCCAGCAATCACACAACCAGCTATATCTGTAATTATTCTGAGAACTAGCAAAGATTTAAAACAGTGTGACCTTCCTGCAAAATTTGTTGCAGGATGGGCAGACAAGGAGTATCCCAAGCTAGCAGAGCCTTGGGAGGCTCTGTCTCGAAACTAACTGATAAGTAGAAGGAGTGGGGCCACTAAATCCTGTTATCTCACCACAGACTTACAACACAAGCATTGCTCTTTAAAACTAAAGATACTTTAGAAGACTAGTGTGGAACAATTAACTCATGTTTAGTGGGGCCACTACATTCCACAGACTTACAACATAAACATTGTTCTCTTTCTACAACCTAAGTTAAGCTAAAAAAGTACTTTATGTTTTCCAGGCACTAGCTTTCCTTATATCAAGCCCCCCCCCCCCCCCCCCCCCCCCCCCTTTTTTTTTTACCTTTACAAATTCTTTTGCTATGTGACTCTGGTTTGATCAAGAGATCTGAACCTTTTTAACTTGTTGTCTAGTCTTGTGTCTTTAGCGAGTTTTGTTTCTGTTATTGTAAACTCGTACAGTTATATCCACATAACTGCACCTATGATTTGCCAAAGCCAATACATTTATGTGTTTATCACAATTTTAATAATGTCTTTCAACCATGCACTGATGCCCCATCCTGACAGCAAACTTTCTAGCCAATTCCAGCTACTGTCCATTCGCAACTTCTGAACTCCATCCTTTAGGTTTTGAATTGCCTCACGGGCAGACTCAGAATGATCAGGTTCATGTAACACATTCTACCGAAGTGTTTACAACCATGTCCTTGAGCTAATAGCAAAAAATCCATGGCAGCTCTATTTTGAAGGGTAGCGTGTTTGACTGAATCGTTCTCTGTTAACAGACCATTGCTGGGGGTGAAAAACCTCCGGGGCAGAGGCTGGGTTTCCTCCCGCCTCTCACCGGGAGGAGTGGACCCCGCGCCGCCCCGCAGCGCGCATCTTGGCGGGCTCAGCGCGTACCCGCGCCTGCCGGAGCAAAGGCGAGGGGCGGGCGAGTATCACAGCCCTTTGCCTGCGGGCAGGCAATGGGGGGAGCCCGCCGGAGCCTGCTGCTGCCGCCAGGCGAGTGAGTGAGGCCGCGGCAACGGGGAGGTGGAGGCGGCGCGCCCGTGCTCCGCAGCTCCTTGTCCCGCCGCCACCAGGCGCAGCCCCTCGGTCGGAGGGGAGCCGCCGCTGCAGACTCCACTCGGCTACCGCGGGAGCGCCGTTTTCCTCCCCGCCGTCCGGCCCGCGGTTCTCCTCGTGACGGACGGGATGTGGAGCATTCAGGCTGTGGGGCAGGTTCACAGCACCTTGATTTTCTGCTGCTTTTTAAATGTTTTTTCACATATCATGCGGGTCAGGGGGGTAGAGGTGGGGTTCTCTGTCAGGGTCGATTGGTCGGGATCAAAAGGGTCATCTTTGGCTGGCTCATTTGCTGTTGCAGCCTGCCGGCGGATATCTTCCCACAGATCGATATGCGTGGGGGGGTACGTGAGTACCAGCAAAGCTTGTGTCTCATGACAGCCAATGCCAGGGTCAGGCGGGAGTAGATCTGGCTCAGTTTCTGGGTCTACTGGCCATGGGTCGAGAGGATCTGGAGTGTTGTTTATTGGGACAAGAGGGGCTGATGTTGCCGATGCCTCCTGTGCTGCCTCATCAAGTGCCTCATAGACTGAGCGCCATGCGGCCAGCAATTTGGGGGCTGCCATATCATCCCTTGTGGCTGCATCCTAGAGGCAGACCACAATCTTTTCCCATATTCTCTTCTGATAAATATTAGTTGATGTCACCTCAGCAGCATGGGTCGAGACCCATATTAACAAGTCTTTCAGTCTGTCTTTATTTACAGTAATCCCCTTCTTCTCTAGGAATTTTATTAGCACTCTGAACACCGATTTGTGTTCGGGGGATACTGAGTTCCCCATGTTCCCAGCTGCTCACCTCAATCAGAGGTACTATTCAATTGCTGGACAGCTCTTTTGGGGTTTGGCTGGGCTTCCTCACCGATCGCTGAGTCACAGCTCTCCATCAAGTCCCTGCTCGAGTGCCATTTGTGAGGATGGAAGGCAAGGACCCATAGGTAGAGTACAAGCTGGATCGTTTATTACAAGGATTACATGATATTTATATGCTTCCAAGCAATTAGCCAAGCACATCTGTCTCTGCCTTGCAGTTACATTTACAGCTTCGGGCAAAAGGTCTGTCTGATTTTTCTTATCAACATCCTCTATCCAGTTCCAGCATCCTTATTTACTACTGGAGTATCCCTGAAGTGGTGAGCAGAAGGTGGCTTGTGTTTATTTTGAGTAGTTACAGTACCTCCACATGCTTCAATTCATACTGGTGTTCATGTCAGTCAACTTGGAGGGCCAGAACAGCTTCACAAGCTCAGGCCTTGCGACTGCCTTTACCACTGTGGCCACACTGCATGCACAGTCATCCTATAACCTCTCACCCTCCGGGGCTGACAATCACCACTTCTGGGCTCTAAGCCAGAGGTTCTCTGGGCAGGCAGGGCCAAGATATAATTTTCATAGAATCCCAGACTGGTTTAGCTTGGAAGGGACTTAAAGCTCCTCCAGTTCTAAACCCCTGCCACAGGCAGGGACACCTTCCACTAGAGCAGCTTGCTCCAATCCCCTGTGTCCAACCTGGCCTTGAACACTGCCAGGGATGGGGCAGCCACAGCTTCTCTGGGTGCCCTGTGGCACCACCTCAGCACCCTCGCAGGGAAGAGCTTCTGCATAAGAGCTCATCTCAGTCTCCCCTCTGGCAGGTTAAAGCCATTCCCCTTGGTCTGTCCCTACATCCCTTGTCCAAAGCCCCTCTCCAGCTTTCCTGCAGCCCCTTAGGCACTGGAGCTGCTCTAAGGTCTCCCCTTCAGGAGCCTTCTTTTCTCCAGGCTGACCCAGCCCAGCTCTCTCAGCCTGGCTCCAGAGCAGAGCTGCTCCAGCCCTCGCAGCAGCTCCATGGCCTCTTCTGCACTCACTCCAACAGCTCCACGTCCCTCTTGTGCTGTTGCCCCAGAGCTGGACCAGGACTGCCGGGTGTGTCTCCCAAGAGCACAGCAGAGGGGGAGGATCCCCTTCCTGAGCTGCTGCTCACGCTCTGGGAGTGCAGCCTAGGATATGAGGGGGTTCTGGGCTCAAGCGCACACTGAAGCTGGGTCATGGGTAGCTCCCCCTCATCCAACACCTCCAAGTCCTTCTCCTCGGGGCTGCTCCACCCAGTCTCCCCCAGCCTGTGTCTGTGCTTGGGACTGCCCTAACCCAGGACCTTGCAGTTGGCCTTCTTGAGCATGAAGTTCACACAGTCCCACCTCTCCATCTTGTCCAGATCCCTTTGGATCTGATCCCTTCCCTCCAATGTGTCGACTGCACCACACAGCCTGGAGTCATCAACAAAATTGCTGAGGGTGCTTAATCCCCCTGTCCATGTTGACAACAAAAATGTTGAACAGGATCAGCCCCAACACTGACCCCCAAGGAGCATGTCACTGATCTCTACTTGAACATCAACCCATTGACCATAAATCTTGGACCATCCAGCCCATTCCTTATCCACCAAGTAGTCCATCCATCAAATCCATGCCTGTTCATCATATTTGAAAAAACATGGCAGTTGTGCCATGGTGATATCAGGTGAAGCTCCCAACAACTGGATAAAGGGAAATACAACCCGCATTTTCAAGAAGGGGGAAATGGATGACCCAGAAAACTATAGACCAGTCAGTCTCCCCTTAGTGCCTGGAAAAATCTTGGAGCAGATTCTCCTGGAAGGCATGCTAAGGCACATGAAAATCAACAAGGTGCTTGGTGACAACCAACATGTCTTCACTAAGGGGAAATCCTGCCTGACCAATTTGGTGGCCTTCTATGATGGGGCTACAGAACTGATGGACAGGGGTAGAGCAGTTGTTGTCATCTACCTGGACTTGTGCAAAGCGTTCGACACTGTCCCACATGACATCCTTGTCTCTAAATTGGAGAGACATCAATTTGATGGATGGACCACTCGGTAGATAAAGAATTGGCTGGATGGCCACACACAAAGAGTTGTGGTCAATGGCTCAGTGTCCGGCTGGAGATGGGTAATGAGTGGTGTCCCTCAGGGATCAGTGTTGGGACCTTGTTCAACATCTTTGTTGGTGACATGGACAGTGGGGTTGATGCACCCTCAGCAAGTTTGCCAATGACACTAAGTTGTGTGGTTTGGTTGATAGACTGGAGGGAAGGGATGTGATCCAGAGGGACCTCGACACACTTGAGAGGTGGCCAGTGCCAACCTCATGAAGTTCAACAAGCCAAGTGCAAGGTCCTACACCTGGGTTGGGGCAATCCCAGGCACAGCTACAGGTTGGGCAGGAAAAAGATTCAGAGCAGCCCTGTGGAGAAGGATCTGGGGGTGTTGGTCAATGAGAAACTGAACATGGGCCGGCTTCAGTGTGTACTTGCAGCCCGGGAACCAACTGTTTCCTGGGCTGCATCAAAAGGAGCATGACCAGCAGGTCGAAGGAGGTGATCCTGCCCCTCTACTCTGCTCGTATGAGACCCCATGCGCAGCACTGTGTGCAGTTCTGGTGTCCTCAACACAAGAAGGACATGGAGCTGTTGGAGCAAGTCCAGAAGAGGCCACGAGGATAATCAGGGGCTGAGCACCTTCCGTATGAAGCCTGGCTGAGAAAGTTGGGGCTGCAAACATCCAGCCCCTTCTGCTAAGCCCAAGGTGCCAGCAGGACAGAAAGCTGGTGCTTGGCGATGTTTTGGCAGAGGAACAAGTGAGTAGAGGATGGGGGAGTCCTCTGGAGAAAGGGGGGTAACAGCTTGATTTGGGGCTGATTCTCCCAAAAAGACCTTTCCATGACAGGCTGTGCTTGTGCAGCCGGAGCCTCTGTGGTGGCCTCAAAATATACCCAAACCCCTGATTCTGAGTCTAAAAGGATTGAGGCAGGGGAGGGTGCCTGAGAGGGGGAATACCCCCACAAAACTCGGTACAGCAGGTTTGGGGGCTGTGTCGTGCGGCGCCGGGCGCAGCTCCGTGCTGCCATCTTGTGTCTAGAATTCGGTACTGCAGGTGGTGGTGATGGGGGTGCGTGCACTGAGCCGGGAGCAGCTCGCTGCTGCCATCTGTGTCCGGAGTTTGGTACTGCAGACCGTACTCCGCGCATGAGCCACGGCGCTCCCTTTGTCTCCGTGGCTGTTGGCCAGAAGTGGTCGTGGTAGCGTTCCGGTCCGTGCCGCGTGGTCGCCGCCGCCTCCCGGTGAGCAGTCGCCGCCGCTGCAGCCGCTCCACGTTCAGGTGTCGGGGCGTGCGCGGTGGAACACCGGGGTGCTCGTGGCCGCAGCCCGGTGTTCGCGCGCCGGTTCTGTTCCCTCCGGCGGGCCTTTTCGGTGTGCCCCATACGCAGCGCCCGGGCGCAGCAATGGCGGCGGGCAGGGTCCGGGTCCGGGTCCCGGCAGCAGCAGGTGAGATCCGACTCCAGCGGGGGTGCGGGGTTAGCGGGGACCGTCCCTTGGGCCGGCGAAGAGGGGCGTCTCCTGCCCGCTGGCCGCCCGGCGCGGAAACTTCCCAGCGCCCGGTGCAGTAGGGTTGCGGTCTGCCGGAGGCGATCCGGGTCAGGAGCCCATAGCGCGCTTGATTCTGCTTTCATCTCCCTTGATGAATCTCTGGCGCCTCGGAGGCTCCTGGCCCGGCATCCTGCGCCCTGCCACTGTGCTTGTCTCTCTGCCTTTGCCTTGGTTTCAGCTGCAGCAGAGTTAATTCTCTTCCTAGGATCTGGTGCAGCGCTGTGTTTCACCTTTCCTCTGAGAATAACGCTGGTAACGCACCGATGTTTCAGTTGTTGCTCCGTCCCGCTTATCCCGGTGTGAAATACGAGCTCACTCCTCTAATAGAGATAACAGGGTTTTATTGTGGCACAAAGTCAATAAAGCCAGAGTAACAGCGCTGGGCTGACCGTAGCCAGAGGCGCACTGATTAGCAATTGTTACAGGTTTATACGCTTTCACTATTGTATTAGTCATATACATAATCATAATTTCCGCGTATAAGTGGGGAATATTATAACTAGCTCCAGGAACTTACTTGCCCAGGGAGGTTGTGAATACTTCATCCCTGGCAGCGTTCAGGGCCAGGTTGGACGAAGCCTTAGGTGGCATGGTTTAGTGTGAGGTGTCCCTGCCCATGGCAGGGGGTTGGAACTAGATGATCTTAAGGTCCTTTCCAACCCTAACTATTCTGTGATTCTGTGATTATCATAAGACTCCTCCTCTTGGCATCTGTGCACTGCATTCCGGTGATTGTGGGCAGGGGTCTTGAGGATGAAGTGAGCAGTCTTCCTCATGCAGGCACGGGTCTTCAATATGAAGTAAGCAGTCTTCCTCACGGTGGTGCACTTTTCACCTTTGGCATAGTTGGATGCCCCAGTAATCACACAACTAGCTGAAACCAGCCAGATCCATAATTTTTCTGATAGCTGGCAAAGATTTAGAACAGTGTGACCTTCCTGCAGAATTTATTGCAGGATGGGCAGACAAGGAGTATCCAAAGCTAGCAGATGTTCGGGAGGCTCTGTCTCTTAACTGTAAGTAGAAGGATGGTGTGAAATAATTTACTCATGTTTAGTGAGGCTGCTAAATAATCACAGACTTACAACATAAACACTGTTCTTTATCTTCGACCTAAGTTAAGCTAAAAGTACTTTAACCCTATGTTTTCCAGGCACTAGCTTTCCTCATATCAAGCGTGCTCCCCCCCCCCCCCCTTTCTTTTACCTTTACAAATTCTTTTGCTCTTCTTTTGCTGAAGAGTTCTGGCTATTTTCAACTTGTTGTCTAATCTTGTGTCTTCAGCAAGCTTTGTGAACAGTTATAAACAGTTATATCCACATAGGAACACCTATGATGTGTGAAAGCCAATACATTTGTGTTTATCACACATTTTGGTCCCTCCTCCTCTGCCGGTGAGGAGGGGCACAAGTAGCTTGGGGGGGAGCAGAGACCGGACGCCGAACCTGAGCTAGCCAAAGGAGTATTCCCTACATACCAGAGCAGATCGTGCTCGGTTCTGAGGGGAGTAAAGAAAGTGGGGGAGTCACCCGAAGGTCCTTAATTCACACTGCATCATTGTGAAATACCAGCTCACTCCTCTAAACAAGATAGCAAGGTTTTATTGAGGGACAAAGTCAATAAAGCAAAAGCAACAGCGCTGGGCACATGACCGTAGCCAGAGGCGCAAGTGATTAGCATTTGTTAAAGGTTTATATACTTTCACTATTACATTAGTTACATACATAGTCATAATTCCCACATATAGGCGGGGGATATTATAACGAGCCTCAAGAATTTATTATTGTAAGTCTCCTCCTCTTGGTGTCTGTACACTGCTCTGCGGTGACTGTGAGTAGGGGTCTTGAGGATGAGGTAAACAGTCTTCCTCTTGTGAGTAGGGGTCTTCAAGATGAAGTAAGCAGTCTTCCTCACAGTGTACTTTTCACCTTTGGCACAGTTGGACCCCCCAGCAATCACACAACCAGCTATATCTAATTATTCTGAGAACTAGCAAAGATTTAAAACAGTGTGACCTTCCTGCAAAATTTATTGTAGGATGGGCAGACAAGGAGTATCCCAAGCTAGCAGATGCTTGGGAGGCTCTGTCTCTAAACTAACTGATAAGTAGAAGGATGGTGTGAAATAACTCGTTCATGTTTAGTGGGGCCACTAAATCCTGTTATCTCACCACAGACTTACAACACAAGCATTGCTCTTTAAAACTAAAGATACTTTAGAAGACTAGTGTGGAACAATTAACTCATGTTTAGTGGGGCCACTACATTCCACAGACTTACAACATAAACATTGTTCTCTTTCTACAACCTAAGTTAAGCTAAAAAAGTACTTTATGTTTTCCAGGCACTAGCTTTCCTTATATCAAGCCCCCCCCTTCTTTTTTTTTGCCTTTACAAATTCTTTTGCTATGTGACTCTGGTTTGATCAAGAGATCTGAACCTTTTTAACTTGTTGTCTAGTCTTGTGTCTTTAGCGAGTTTTGTTTCTGTTATTGTAAACTCATACAGTTATATCCACATAACGACATCTATGATTTGCAAAAGCCAGTACATTTATGTGTTTATCACAATCTTCATTCATAGGGAAAGGGACGAAGATGGAAATACCCGTTTAGAAACTAGCCAATGAATTCCCTGTTCCTCACTTCCATTCTAAGATTGCAGTTATTTTGGAAATGAGGCTGTTCACCATAGCCTTTAAAATGCTGAAGGATCTGGAGACTGAAATTCTCTCTTCATGAAATCAGTGAGATCTGCAGCAGGGGCAGCGCTCATTGCCCTCCTTTTGTTCTGCAAATAGACCTTGGTGTGTTGTGCCTTGGTAGATCCCAGCTAATCACAGCTTTTCTGTTGACACTGGCAGCAGGGATTTCAGTTGCTGCTGCTGCTCTCCTGGACACCTGCCTTGCTACAATAAAGTCATTAGGTTTCTTCATAAACGCTTCCTATTCTAGATACAGAGACAGTGTTGTGAGGGAGCTGATCCAGAATTTCATCTGTGTTGCAAGGTGCCTGTAGCAGGAGATGCATTGAGTTACCAGAGTGGGTTTCTTTAGGGCTTCTCTATTTTATGCGAAGTCATTTCAAGTCTCAGTCTGTTGAGAGCGGGCAGAATCTTTATTTGCTCTGCTGCTGATTTGCTCTGATCATCGAGGTGAAGGCTTTAGATCTAGGAGCAGTTGATCTGAGGCTTGTTCACCTGATTTTATGCCATCTAAAAATTATGCTGCCTAAAAACTAAACGGACTGTATCGCATTAAAACTCTACAAATGCACTTTAAATCTTTGTTTGTTTAATGTATGAGATAGCTGTGGATGGCCTAGTACGCAGGCTATGCATACAGCACCCTACAGTACAAAATATATATGACCTTATTGGTCTCTCTGTGCAGCTGAAAATGAGTGTGGTGTCACAGGAGGTTATTTGAGGATGAATTGAAAATGTTCCAGGACTTGTTTCTGGGGAAGTCTCTCATTCGCAGGTTGTCCTGGTGCTCTGTGGACAGGCTCTAGGCCGTGTGTTGTCTGTGCAGGTGTCCAGCAGGCTTTGTGCTTCGTCACGGAGTCGTGTCCTGCACTGAGGTGACTCTTAGTTCCTACTGTAGCTCAAGCACAGGCCCTTGCTAATGGCTGCAGTTGCTGTGAGTGCTGGTTTTTGTACATGTGTTTTTTTTTTTGCAGGGGATTGTCTCTTCTGGGAAACGCTTGCGTGGGATTTCTATATTTAAAAAAATACACAACTGTTTTGTTTTCCCCATTGCTTGCCTGTGATGAGCAGGAAGGAGAAGAGATGGGTGAAGAAGAGAAGGGGGAAGAAGCAAGTCCAGAAAAGCAGTGCAGAAGATACCAGTGAAGAGCAGGGAGAAGGGAAGCAGCAGTCTCCAGGTCAGGCAGAAGCTGCCCCTCCCAGAGCAGAATCCCAGAAAAAGGAAGAAGGCGAGATGCTGGAGTCTCGGATGAGCATCCCGCTGAGGGAATGGGTCTTGAATTTTGGTGTCTGAGAAGTTGAATGGTGAGAAATGGTCTCTAGGTTCAGGCAGGCCTCGGTCAGACACAGCAGTGAAGCAGGTATTTATTTAACGCGTTTGTGCGAAAATGAGTGTCCTGGCAAGTAGGCACACAGAGCAAAACCAGAACTTTGATTTGTTTTTTCCTATCCTGTATGCAAGCTCCCTCCCTTTTCCCAAGTTTTCCCGTTGGGTGTGGACTCCAAGGTTTACAGCGTATCTGACATGTATAATCTATGTGCTAACTGTCCCGCCTCTGGTCACACCTTCCCTTATTCTTTTTTTGTACACCCCTGTAAGCGGCAGGAGAAGCAGACAGGCCAACCCAATATGGGTGATAAGCAACTTCTACTTTATTTGTGACGCAGTTCACACATATATAGGAGTGGTATTCAGCCACTCCTTCTTGGCACAACAGTATTGGTTAGCCCCCCACAGCTTCCTCCACATTCTCCTCCCAGGTCCGGTCTCCGGCCACCTGTGGGGGCCACCCCCTGCCTTGCTTGCACAGTCCTCCAGAACTCTATGGTCCTGCTCTTAGAGTCATTCTGCAACAATTCCCCCCTTTTTCTTTGTGCAAGCGAGGCATTATGGATTATTCTGTTCGCCTGTTTTATCACACAACTATAAACAAGTCTAATAGCTATGATGATTAACCTAATCAATGATACATAAGTGCAATACTTTTAAACAGTGTTTGACTCAACCTGTAATGCCCCGTGAAAACAACCATCTAATTATTCTTAGAATACTGCTCATTTACTACTGCTGGGTAAGCTGAGCCAGGGTTCTCAGCTGTGCGTACATCGAATTAGCATAATCAGAGACTCATACAACACATTCCAACAAACTCCTCTGATCCATGTCCCTGTTCCAACAGCAAAAGGTTCTACAGTGTTGCATGTCTCACAGAGTCAACATTAAAACAAATCAGGAATTGCCTTCGATGTAGAATTGTCTGCTTAGCAACTCAGCAACCCAGTCTGCTTAGTTGAGCCAAGGCCCCGGCTGAAGCACTCTACAGTGATTTGGCATATTATGATTGGATACATGTTTTGAAGACCCTTAGTGACTAACATATAATTGGTTAAACACAGGTGTGAGAACTCAACCTTGAAAGCTTGGCAACAGTCCACAGTTCTCATTAACTTGGTGAATTCCAGCCTCTTATCTTGCTTGCTTAAGCTTCTTCAGGCCTCTCATGGCCTTGCTGTATCTTTCAGGACTATTCAAAGTTTATGTACCAATTATGCGTTCTCCCCTGAGAACACTGTCTCCACATCTTCCCCCTTTATGTTTTATATATGGTTTGGGTGACCCTACTTGAGCAGGGGATCTGGGCTAGATTATATCCCTAACATATGCCAACTAGAGGCTGCCTGGGCTTGCCCCCTTTTTCTGCTGTATGGCTCTCTGATAACAGGCTGTATAGCTCTCTGATCCTTCACATCAAGGTCTGGCATGGCATGTGTCCCCACCGCTGCACGCCTGCTGGGTTGCAGCCAACAAAGGAGCTAAAGGTTCTTCTTGGTGGCAAACACAGAAGCCAATACAGTCTTGCCCTTGATTGTGGTAGCAGGCATTTGGTCAGCCTCAGTCCTTGCACCTTGTTGTCAATGCACAGTTTCACCTGCTTCATCCAGTAACAAGTCGCTACTACAGCAAAGCACACACAAATTTACATTAGCAGAGTAACTATTACAGGGTGCAGCAGCATGTTGAAGATGCTGATGGCAGTGAAGGACTAGCCAAAGAAGTTCCTTACCAGTGGAATTCTCCCCCCCTCTTAATTTGTTCCATCACCTGCTTTATAACACTACCATTGTATTAAATTTTTTCTAGCTTTTGCCTTAGCATTTTCTAGCAGCTACTGCAAATTTCCATACTCTAACATCTCTTTTACAAGTGACAAATCTATACAATACAAGGTGCAGTTTCTTATTAGCAACTAGCTAGTAAATACAGGTGGTTTTATACACAAAATCACAACCTCTAATAATAGCTATTCTACAAGCACACATATTCAGGATGTTACTTTTCAGTTGCCCCCAAGTGATGTTTTGCAGTTATTTGTTCTTTCTCTTCCTCTGTCTCATTCTGCTTGGGGTAATCACGGTCAGCTCCTGTAGCTGAGGCATCAGGTTTATCCATTCGTCTGTCCAGCTCATGGCAAGGCTTGACAAACTTTGCAGGCAGTCACCATGGACCTGTAGGCAGGAGGACACAAATATACCCCCTCCCCCAGGTTATCAGTTCTTCAGTTCTTGGGAAGTAGACAGGTTAGGTTAAGTGCAGCATCATTACTCTCTCCCCCCCCCCTTTTTTTTTTTTTTTTTAAGTCCCTGCAAAAGCCATCATTACTCCCACTACAGTCCCACGTACAGAACGTGGCACAAGGACCCTGTGGAGACTAACAGCAAACCAGCTCCGAGAAGCATCATTGCAGTGGGAGGTGGCAGGCTCAACCTTAGCGGGCGTCCCCGCAGAGGCTCTGCCTCCCCCACATCGTATGAGGCTTGGGCTTTTATACTGACCAAAATGCACACTCATTCCGACACAGGTGGCCAGCCTGTGCTGGAAGAAGTGGCCAGCAGTATCTACAGAGGTCTCCAAGGGTTGACAGAAACCTGGACATACTTGTATTTACCAACTTCTAGTACATGAGTATCACAGAGAAACTGTATGGGCTCCCCCTGTCAATTGCAAGAAAAAATCATAACATATACAGCTTGAGTATAAGAGGATTTTAACGCATACGTGGTCACTGTTTGTCAGGCCTCCTTAACTATTTTGAGATCAAGAGCTTCCCACTCCTTAGCCCCCTGCTGTGTAGTAAACACAGGATATGCAGAGATGCCCATTGCAGAAAATTCACCAGTAATGATCACATCTTTGGTTACCCATTGTTACAACTGAGCGTCTCCAGGGCCAGTGAGTCTGAGCAGACCGACCCGGGAGACGAAGAGTCAGGGTCTGGAAGCAGAGGATGTAATTCTAAATCGGATTCAGGGGATTCGGGGGCTGATCCTGTGCCAAACACGGGGTCTTCGTTGCTCGCAGCTGTGTCTTTCTTATCAGATGTATCTCGTTTGCTATGTAGCCATCTGCAGACCTGGCTCCTCCGTGACTGAGTTAAATTTTTTTTTTTTTTTTTTTTTCCACTCTAGGCATAGTGGGTTGGAGAGGCTTGCGGTTCCTTTAAATCTCCTGCTAGCGCATGATCCCTATTTTCTACTGCGTGCTTCAAAATGGCGCCGCAATCGATCCAGCGCTGAGGCACCGCCCTCTTTCTTTCGGATTTCTCGACATTTATCATGCGTATACCTTCTAATATACTTTCTCTGTCCTTTTCAAAGTCCCTACTTTCGGAACTGGGGTGGTGGGGGAGCAGGGGGTTACACCTCCTCCGTGGCACCTTCTGATGGAGGGGGAGAAAAGGAAGGGGGGGGTGGGTGGGGTGGGAAACCCTGTGCTCCCGCGAGTTGGGGGAAATGAGTTGTAATCTTCCCCCGGTTTCAACCGACCGGGGACGTCTGTTCCTAGCTTCTCCGTTGCTACCGTGGCAGTTTTCTTTTCTGCCTTGTATCTTTTTATACAGTTCATTACTTCCCTCCGTGGTTTACCGAGTTTCTTTGCCTTTTTATAATCATTAAGCACTGAGTCAAATAGTTCATCACCAAACTTTCGCCACTCATTCTCCTCAAATATTGTATTAGGATCTGCAAAAAATCCCTTAGCCTTCCGTACAGCCACTAGACCTGCTAGTTGCTTTAAGAGTCTCAGGCTCAATTCCCCGCTTTTATAAAAAGCACTGTAAAAAGTTCAGGGCTCAGTTCCCCGCTTTTATAAAAAGCACTGTAATAAGTCCAGGGCTACCTCTTGGTCTATTTTCATGGCCAGCCTTTTCCGGATCGTCTTCTTCTGGGTCGTCCTGTAACCTTGGTCTCCGGATCCGCCTCCCGACGCAGCGGATTCCTTTCAGTTAGTCCAAGCACCCGGGTCCGTCACGCCACCGCAGCAGCATTGCCCGCGCTTCCCGGCCGCTGCCGCCGGCGCCACTCACTCGCCGTTCCGGGTCCCCGTCGACCGGGTCCCTGTATCCGGGTCCCTGCTAGTCGGGGCCCTGTATCCGGGTCTCCGCTAGTCGGGGCCCTGTATTCCGGGTCCCCGCTAACTGGGGCCCTGTGTCCCGGGTCCCTGCTAGTCGGGGCCCTGTAATCTGGGTCCCCGCTAGTCGGGGCCCTGTAATCTGGGTCCCCAGCGACCGGGGCCCTGTAATCCGGGTCCCCAGCGACCAGGGCCCTGTAGTCCGGGTCCCTGTTCGGGCGCCATTTGTAAGCGGCGAGGAGAAGCAGACAGGCCAACCCAATATGGGTGATAAGCAACTTCTACTTTATTTGTGACGCAGTTCACACATATATAGGAGTGGTATTCAGCCACTCCTTCTTGGCACAACAGTATTGGTTAGCCCCCCACAGCTTCCTCCACATTCTCCTCCCAGGTCCGGTCTCCGGCTACCTGTGGGGGCCACCCCCTGCCTTGCTTGCACAGTCCTCCAGAACTCTATGGTCCTGCTCTTAGAGTCATTCTGCAACACACCCCTTCCTCTTATTTATCTCCTTTTATGGTTCAATTTCATAACTCTCTGGCAGACATGTGATACCCCAAATTACTGTTTAACTACAGAACCAGTTTGCACCAGCTAAGTTTCATAGGTTGTACAAAGATAGCATTCTTTTTAACCACAGAGTGTGTCTGTCACCCAAAGATGACATTGTCTTTAACCACAGAGCGTGTCTGTTTAAGTCATCATATTTGAAACCCTTTGTTTCATTTCCTTAGTAACTTAGCCCCAGCCCCACTATTGCAGAGTCTTAATATTGCAAAGCCCCATCCCTGATATTGTGAAAACAACACTGTTTCTCTCACAGAGTTTCCGCAGGTGAACTCTTCTTTCCCTGTTTGTCCCCTGCCCTGAGAAAAAATCTGGAAAACCTGCAAATCTGTTCCCCTGCCTGACAATGTATTTTTTCTGTTACAGGATCCAAAAGGAAATAGAGAAAATGCAAAAGAGGAAGAACTATCCAAAAGTTCCAGTGACAGCACAGTTACCGAAACAGAGGAAGGGAAGAATATCAAAGCACCCAAGAAGCAGAAGCTTGCCCATGAAATCCCTGTGGAACTGGGTGTAAACGATGTGCCCTACCTGCTGGAGGACGAAGTGAAGAGCTTGATGAAAAAGGATGTTTGAAATGGCTCTGCTGGGTTAAAGCTCCAGGTAGAGGAAGTGAATTGCTTTGGAATGGTGGTGGATCATGTAGCGCTGCTGTCATCAGAAGCTTATGTATATGATGTGCTGCTCAGCTAAAGGCACTTGCTACCTTTGATTACTGTTCTTTTTGCATGCTAGACTCCAAGACTTGACGATCCAAGATCTAGAGAAACAAGAAAGATAGAACTCGGCCAATAGCTTGGAGTCATTCATCTTTGGGACCCAGGTAAGAGAAGGATATCAAGAAATTAGAAGACCAGGAGAGCAGGTAGAAGTGTCTTGTCATGGTTTAAGCCTAGCCGGTAACTCAGAACCTAGCAGCCACTTGCTCACTCCACCCCCTTCTTTCTACCCCTGCTCCTAGAGGAATGGGGAGGAGAATGGAAAGAATGTAACTCCCACGGGTTGAGATAAGAACAGTCTAGTAACCAAGGTATAACAGAAACCACTACTGCTACCACCAGTAATAATAATGATAAGGGAAATAAAAAGGGGAGAGAATACAATTGCTCGCCACCCACTGACCGATACCCAGCCAAACTGGAGCAGCAATCTCGCCCTTCTGGGTAACTGCGCCCAGTTTCTATCCTGGGCATGATGTGCTGCGATATGGAATACCCCTTTGGCTAGTTTGACAGGTCAGGTGTCTGTGGAGGCAGTGTTCTCACAGGAGAATGGATAATTGGTACATAAACTCTGAATAATCCTGAAAGATACAGCAAGGCCATGAGAGGCCTGAGGAAGCCTAAACAAGCAAGATAAGAAGAAGCTGGAATTCACTGAGTTAATGAGAACTGTGGACTGTTGGCAAGCTTTCGAGGTCAAGTTCTCACACCTGTGCTTAACCAATTATATGTTAGTCACTAAGGGTCTTCAAGACATGTATCCAGTCATAATATGCCAAATCACTGTAAGTGCATGTAAGAAACAGTATTTAAGGGATTAAGGCTTTGTAATAAATGGCTTTTGTCTGATCATATTGATCTCTGACTGAGTCCATATATTTTCTGCGGCAGGTGTCCTGTCTCTGCTTCCTTCTGGCTTCCCCCTCCTCACTGGTAGAGCATGAGTCTGAAAAGTCCTTGATCAGAGTAAGCATTACTCAGCAAGAGCTAAAAACATCGGTGACTTATCAGCACTCTTCCCAGACTGAAGTATTAGGTTATTGCCTGCTGACGACACTGCCAAACTTGTCTGGTTACTGCTGAGCTCATCTGGTTTCATGAAAGTTCCTTGTTTGTTGGGGTGATAATCGGAGGGAAGTCAGGGTCAGTTGATGGTGATCTGAGGACAGTTCTGCTGTTGCTGCTGGCTTTTCCCATGACTTTTATTATCTGCTGATGATCATGACAGCCCATATCTTTTCTTCAAAGCCCAGAATGGCAGAGATGGGCATCTAGCTCATGGGCTATAGAAGTGTTACATAGCAGGCAACAGCAGATAATTGAGTCCATTGGCTGTTTTCTCCCAAAATTAAATCCCCTTGAGGTACACACCAGACTTCCCAGTCTTCCCGCATTACCCACCAAGTATTTCCGGGTCCCTGAGCAAAAGCAATCCCACTGGTAGGTTTGCCTTTACGTGAAGCAGGAATAACCCAGGCTGTCTTCCCCAACAGATTCTTCATGTGGACCACAGGAATGTTACGCCTCTCTATGTAAAAGTTCTGATTGGGGTGGGCCAGCCCTGTTGGCAGATCCCCAGGTGTGACCAACCAGGTGGCTTTTGGTAAATGTGTATCCCAGTGTTTGAAAGTCCCACCATCCATTGCTCTCAAGTGTAGTTTTTAATGGCCCGTTGTACCATTGTAACTTGTGCAGATTGGCTGATCTGAATGCAGAAGAGTTGCTTGGGCTGGGGGGATATGATTTGAAGAGCCCAGCTTTCATCTTTCAGTCATTTTTCTACTACCTCTAGGCTTGCTAAGCCCACGGGGACTTGATAGAAATGTAAGACTTTTGCCAAGTGTGTCTAACATGTTAAGTTTTACGTTCACAGTATCTTTTCTGTGTGCCTACCCAGGTGTTGTGGAATGCTTGCACTCAGGCTATGAAGAAGATACAGCTTCTCAAGAACCATTGCTGTGCAGTTAAGTGCATGTGAAGTTACTGTGGTTACAGCTTTTCCGTCACATACCTGGTGTGCATGTGTCTGTATACTTGCTGTGTTGCCATCATGCTCCTGGTAACATTGGGAGCAGGAGCTCAGATGTGGGAAGGTGAGTGAAGATCTCCTGGCCAGTGCAGTCAGCACTCCAGGAGTCTACGTTCCAGCCCGGTTTCAAGGGGGTGATGGGTGGTTTTATGCTTCCACGCTCAGTGGTATTTGATGGGAGCGCTTGTTCTGTTCTTTGCAGGAGAAGCTTCACGAGGAGGAGCATTGTTTTTTCTCCTCAGGGGAGCAGAGAGAAGACATTTCCAGAAAGCTTAGCAAGGCTTCCCGTTGGATGGAGGAGGAGGGCTCTGCAGCTGGAACTAAGGTACTGCTGTGGGTGTTCAGGATACCAGGCACTGTCCCTGACATGGAAATGACCACACAGACTGACTGAGGATGGAACCACCACAATCCTTTGTAATCTGGTTTTTGCAAGTCTCTTGCTTCCCCAGTGCATTTTGCACAGAATAGAACGCAAAGTTCTTGCAGCCATGGATGAGCAGTTTCAGCAGCAACTGCTGAAGTAACTCCGTCTCTCTTTCTCTGCCTGCTGCCTGTCCCCTCATTCCTTGCTATGCCTCTCCATCCAGCTAGCTCTTTTTCCCTTTCTCTCCTCTTCTGTCCTGCTCCCTGGCCCATTTTCTTTCTTCCTCTGTTTCTGTCCTCTGGCCAATTTCTGGTTTTAGATGTTTTTCCTTCTTGGTCATTTCTTACAGATCTGACCCTTTCTTTATTTCTTAATCCCTTTGTTCTCTTCCCTCTCTTCTTTATCTTGCTCTGTCCCCACGTCCTGTGCTCCACTACTGCCCTCATCTCTCCCTTCTTCTCTCCTTCCCCACCCACGCTCCAACATGTTTATGCCCTGGTCCTGCACCCTCCATTTTCTTGCTCCATTTCTCTTTCACTAACTGTACCAGAGATGGTGCAAAATACTTTTTTCTTCTGCTTATTTGTAGCCTTCATAAAAAAAGGAAGCTTTAGACTCTTGTTGTTTTTTAAGCCCAGCTGGTAACTCAGAACCACGCAACTGCTTGTTCATCCCCCCCCTGCTTCTTTCTAGAGGGATGGGAAGGAGAATCAAAAGAATGTAACTGCCATAGGCTGAGATAAGAACAGTCTGGTAACTAAGGTGTAACACAAAACCAGTACTGCTACCACCAATAATAATAATGATGATAAGGGAAATAACAAGGGGAGAGAAATGGAACTAAAAGAGGAAGAGGAAAGGAATAAACACAAGTGATGCACAGTTCAACTGCTGAGCACCCGCCAGCCAATACCCAGCCCAACCCGAGCAGCTATCTGGGCCTTCCATGTAACTCCCCCCTGTTTTTATCCTGGGCATGATGTATGGAATGCTGTAGTATGGAATGCCTCTCTGGCTAGTTTGGATCACGTGTCCTGTCTCCGCTTCCTCACAGCTTCCTGTGCCCCTCCTCACTGGCAGAGCATGAGACTGAAAAGTCCTTTATCAGAGTAAACATTACTTAGCAACTACTAAAACCATCGGTGTTATCAGTGTTCTCAGACTAAAGTTGAAAACACAGCACTGCACCAGGTACTAAGGAGAAAAATGACTGCTACTGCTGAAACCAGGGCAGGAGCCCACCCAGCTTGATGATAAAGGTTTTGGGGTACATTTTCCCTCTCCCAGCTAGATGTCAACTGCCACCATGGTCACCCTTTCTTTTGCCATGGAAGGACAAAACAGAAGAATCCGAATCCATGATCTGTGACACAAGGTATGTCTGTGATGCATGTCTGCGTTTTTCCTGCGGTGCTTGTAGTATGGGATTTAAAGATGACATAAAGAAGGTGCCCGCTCTCTTTCTCTGTTTTTTTCTATGAAAGATTTAAAGACAAATACTCAACATAAGGCCCATTGCGGAGCTGTTACGGCTATGCAAAGCTTTAGTTTTCCTGAAAGAAGTGTCTGTGTGGTTAACTGTTAAATGATAGTGAGAAAATAGTTTTTGCAACAAAAGAGGAAAAAACCTGTATGTAAGAGTTCAACTGTTCAGAAGAAACAGACTTTATTTTTTACTGTAAAACCGTTTTTTTGTTTCATTGGTAGGTTTTTGATTGTGTGTTTTTTTTTCTCTTTTTTATAACATAGAAATACAATTTGGGATTTCTGTTTTCTGTTTTTCGGGTGACTTGTTGCAGACGTTTCATGATGCTCAACACACTGTGGTGCCTCAAAAATACTCCAGACCCCCAGATTCTGGGTCTGCAAGGCGATGTGGGGAGAGGGGATTTGCAGAATTTTTGGGGGAGAAAAACATGCTGTTTGGGATTTTTTTGGTAGTGCTGCTGCCACCCTCTGTCCAAACCGTAGTACTGGAGGTAGTGCTGGGCGCGGCGGACAATGAGAACATGGCGGGGGGGGGGGGTGGTGGTGGGGGGGGGGGGGTGGGTGTTTGTGTATGTATGTGTGTGTGTGTGCGTGCGTGCGTGCGTGCGTGTGTGTGTGTGTGTGTGTGTGTGTGTGTGTGTGTGTGTGTGTCGGGAGTGATTGACGCGAGCGGTGGCCAATGACGGCTGCGGGGCGTGGTGGCCAATGGCAGCGCGGGAGTGTCGTTTCGGGAGGGATTGACGAGCGCCGCGGCAACTGGCGGGTTGGGGGTGTTGTCCCTCTAATGTCTTTCAGGCAGAGCCCCCCCTCCTTTTTCTTGGGGATCTGTGTGAACGGCAGTTATGATAGGAACGAAGTAACGAGCTGCACCTGGGGGCAAAAGGGTTGTGATTTTAATCTTGCACCCCAGAACTGCTTGCTGATGCCATTCTGTGTCCCCCACAGAGACCGATAGACACATCCCCTCCCTAGTCCTATAGAGCCCTATGAACACATAAAATATGTCCCACAGCTTTTATTGACACGTGCCATCATGATGTCACCAGGATGGTAATGACAGCATCAGCCATGACATGGCTCCCATTATGGCCCCCAGGTGCCCCATAAGGCCCCCACTATCCATCTGCAACCCATCAGTACCACACCACCAATAGATTTTTTTTTTTTAATTCACTTTCATTTTTTTTTTTTTTAACCTTTCATTTGCTTTTATTCAAGTTTTATTCAGGCTTGTTCACTTTTATTCACTTTTCTTCAGATCTGATTTAGTCACTTTTACTAACTTTTTTTTTTTAAATACCCGATGGCCACCCAGAGCAACCTATGGACACCCCACAGAGCCCCATAGACCTCAGTAGAGCCCCTATAGGCTCCCCCCTCCCCGGCTCATAGACTCTGTATAAACATGCAGTAGAGTTCCAGAGCAACCCATAGACACGCAATAGTGACTTATAAGAGACCCACAGTCACCACACAGTGACCCATAGACACCCCCTAGCCATCCACAGCACCCCATGGAAACCCCAAGAGGCCCCATAAAGCGCCATAGGCTCCCTCTTGAATCCCCTGTAGGGCACCCCCCAGCCTCATAGACAACCTATAGACATGCCATAGAGACCCACAGTAACTGATGGACACTCCATAGCGATTCATAAGACACCCATAGTAACCCACAGATCCCCATAATGACCCACAGTGACCCATAGATACCCCATGGACATACAGTAGTGACCTGTATATGCCCCATAGAAATGCATGGCCACCCATGTACAGCTCATAGAGACCCAAAGCAACTGCTAGGTTCCTTATAGATGCACACATGGCCCCATGACGACCCATAATGCCCCACAGACTCCCTCCACTGCCACAGCACCCCATAGATGCCCAACCCCAATGCCCCATAGTTCCTTATAGACACACACCCCCACGGCTTTTTTTGATTTATGGTGGTGTGATGTTGCCAGGACTGCGATGGCATCAGGAGCATCATCAACCTCCATGGTGCCCCTTAGGGCCCCCATTACCACCTTGTGCCCCAAACACAAATCAGTTTTTCTGTTGACTTTAATTCATTTTTATGGACTTTCATTCACTTCTTTTTGAGTTTCACTTAGGCTCATTCCCTTTTTTTTCTCTTTTTACATTCCCCGGTAGCCCTGTCCCCAACGCAGACCACACCCCACACAGGAGCTGACCCCACACCGCCCGCTGCCTGTGGTGCCGCCTGCAGCCGATTTGCCCACCCACCCTTGTAGCCGTGCCCCTGACCACCCCGCTGCCCAAGGCACGCCCCTGTCACCCCCCGTGCCTCCACCCCAGGCCAACCAGGAGCCTGCCCCTAGCTGAGACCACACCCCCCAGTCAGCAACCCTGCCCTAACCCCGACCACACTCCTGGCCGAGCCCCTAGCCCGAGCCACAGCCTAGGCCACGACCGCAGCGCAGTCCCAGCCCACCCCAGCCTCATGACATCAGCCCCTTGTCTAGACCACACCTCCACCCTACACTAGCCCTGCCCCCGGGCCTGACCACGCCCCCTGTGCACTGGCCCCACCCACAGCCCGGCTGGCACCTTCCCCGGTGCCCATCTCTTACCATAGACCACGCCCACACTCTTACATTAGCCCTTCCCACAGAACAGGCCACACCCTCCAGCCTTCACTAACACCGTGCCGCGCGTAGCCCTTCCACAGCACAGACTACACCATCAGGCCTTTATTAACCCTGCTTTAGCCCTGTTCCTAGCCCAGGCCCATCATGAAGTGATTAAAAAGGGAATAAAAGTGAATCAATCTGAATAGAATAAAAGTGAACAAAAAAGTGACAAAAAGTGATTAAAAACCAAATAAAAAATGAAGTAAACTGAAGAAAGTCTATGAAAAGTGACTAAAAGTGATTTTAAATTATTAAAAAGTTAATAAAAATGAAAGTGATAAAAGAATTAATGACATTGGGGCACTTAACGGGGCACAGGGAGTAGTCCAAGGATAATAAAGTCCTTGGGGTGTGGTCTGTGCTGTGGGTTGGGCTAATGTAGGAGTGTGGGCGTGGTCCAGGGTAAGGGGTGGGTGGTAGGAGGGTACGAGGCCTCTGTTGGGGTGGGCAAATGAGGGACAAGGGGCGTGACGTCCAGTAAGGGTGTGCTGTAGGCTGTGAGTGGGGCCAGTGCATAGGTGGGGCACAGCATGTATCACACACATGACACAAACGTTTCATATTGTCGCACAGGTGTCAAGACATCACACGTTACACAGATGTCACACAGGTGTCACACACATCACCCACGTCAGAAATGTCTCATGTGTTACACGTCATGTCATAAATCTCACACACACGTCGCACTCAAGTCACATGTCTTTTGTCACACATCACACATCTCACATACATCACACGTGTCAGACATCACACGTGTCACACTTCACACCTGTCACACAACGTGTAACACATCACACACATGTGTCGCCATGTCACACAGGTGTCACAGATGTGCCACACATGTGCCAGGTGTCACAGATGTGTCACACATGCACGTGTCACACAAACGTCACACACATCACAAATGTCACACCACACACGTGGCACACAAGTGACACACGACACATGTCACATCACACACATCAGAGGTGTATCACATGTCACACATGTCATGTTACACATGTCACACACTGTGAGGATGGAAGGCATGGACCCAGAGGTAGAGTGCAAGCTGGATTGTTTATTGCAAAGGTTACATGATACTTATATTCTTCCAAGAAATTAGCCAAGCACATCTGTGTTTGCCTTGTGGTGACATCAGGTGAAAGGTCTATCAACATCCTCTTTCCAGTTCCGACGTCCTTGTTCCTTGCCAGCTTCAACATCTTCCAAGTACCAGTCAGGGATGGGTCACTCTTAATTGCCTGCTGTAGTTCCTCCTTCCCATGGGCTCTGACAGTTTCAATACATTCCAACCCCCCCAATACACGTCATGTTACACATGTCACATGTCATACCTGTCACTCAGGTCAAACATCAGACACATGATGACAAACATTTTGCATGTGTCACACACGTCATGCATTACACATCACACAGATGTCACACTCGTGTCATATACACGCGTCACAAACATCAGACATGTCACACATATCACGTCACGTCATGTCATAAATGTAACATACATCAAACATGTCACATACGTCACACACTTGTCACACACGTGCCACACACGTCATACATGTGTCACATGTCACAGACATGCCTCACATCACACATGTGTAAAACACATCACACACGTGTCACACATCTCACATGTCAGACATGTCACGTGTCACACGTTACACACGAGTTATGCATGCCACACACGTCACACATCACACAAGTGTCACACACATCCCACAATTGCCAGAAAGATCAGAAATGTCACACACATCACACGTCACACATATCACATCATAAACATCAAAGAAGTGACGACACATGACACGTCACAGAAGTGTCTCACATGTCACACAAGTGTCATACAAATGTCACAAACATGTCACACACACGTCACACATCATATATACAACATACATGTCACGTGTGACACACATCAGACCTGTCACACACATCACATGTGTCACACATATAACCATGCCACACATGTCACACACACGTGTCACATATCACATGTATCACAGACATTGGACGCATCACATGTCACCAGCATTTCACATGTGTAACACATTACACAGATGTCAGACGAGTGTCACATCACATGTCATAAATATAAGACATGTCACACACATCACACGTGTCACACTTGTAATGTCATAAACATCACCTGTCAAACACGTGTCACACATGTCACATAATAAACATCACACAGGTCACATGTGTCACAAATCACACACATGACATATACCACATATGAGTCACGCACATCACACACGTGATACGTCACGCACGTGTCACAGACACATCACACATGTCATGTGCACATGTACAGACACGTGCACATACACACGCACATACATGCATACACACGCACACACACAAATGCACACAAAT